GTGTTGCTCTATCAGGAAGGGCCTGTGGACACCCACCCACCCTGTCCCAGCCACGTCAAGGGACCTTACGCTGTTCTATCCAGCGTAGGGTTTTCAGCCCGGAGGAAACTAAATCTAGATCTAATTGCAGCTTCTACGTCCCTCCGCCAAGGTGTGGCCAGCAGCTCATTTGAATGCCTTCCAAGTGGGGTCAGAGGGCTGCATCCCTTGCCAGCCCCCGAGTCCTGCCTCCGAAGGGCTGGCCCCACCATTACTAGCACCTACCAACTCCGTTTCGGAAATGCAGAAAATGAGGCCCAGAGAGCTCACATGACCTTGGCATGCCAAGGTCACCAGGCTTGTAAGCGGCAGAGCGGGCTGGTGGGGGTGAGGGGGGTCTGTCCTGGGTCTATTTACCACCACAGCCCAAGGCATCGCTTGGGGGATCCTGCCCAACTTGGAAGGACAGGAAGGGACCACATGCAGCACTTTGCACTTTGGTTGGAGCAGGGCCCCTGACATCCGGCCACACGGACCGCAGGCCAAAGTGGGAGCCGCTGTGTGTTTGGCAAACGCACTCGGGGTCCTTCGAGGCTTTTTCACGGACAGAGGGGATGGGTGCTATGAGAGCCAGCACTGATGAGGGTGCTGTGGGGGGGGCACGCACCACGGATCCCCGGAGACCGTGCCGAAGGCTCGCGGGGAGACAGCTACAGGGAAAGTCACGTACAGACCTGTGGTCAGTGCCCGTCTCGGTTGGTCCTTCCTCCTCCCGTGTCCCCTCGCGTCACTGCTGACACACACCAAGCCCTGCCCCGATGCCCGCCACAGCCTTTCAGTGAATCCTTACAATGGGGGGAGGAAGGGACCAGGGCTAGCACCTTACTAGGACACTTTTGTGAGGCCCCTTTCACCGATGAGAAAATGCAGGGATCTGAACCCGGGTGGCCTGGAGCCGGAGCCCACATCCTAACTACTGAGCTGCCTCGTGCACACTCCTTTAGCTCTAGAACATCAGCTCGCTGACGGCTGAATTCCACTCTGGCAGCACCCATCCCCCCCCCCCGCCCCAGAAGGGAAGGAATGGGCTCCTTTCTTTCTTGACACGGGGATGTGTTCACATGCATTCACTGTGTCTCCCAGCATCCCGCACGGTGCACAGCACGTGGCAATGTTTAATAAACGACGATTGCATGGACGGATGGACGGCTGGATGGATACTGGGATGGATGGCTGGATATAGGGATGGCTGGATGGACAAATGAATGAATGAAAGCCATCACCATGTAGGATGGTGTCCGGAGGGCCAGGCGTGGCGCTGGGTGCTTTACCTGCATCGGCTTCCATCCTCACACCCACCTGGCCAGATGGACAAAACGATCCCAGCTGTACCAATGAAGAAACCACAGCTCCTGAAAGGCAGGTTCTAGAGGGCCCGATGACGTCACACTTGGCCCAGGGCCCCGCATGGCGAGTTCGGTGTTGGATCAGAGAAGGCAGTCACTGGGGGTGAGCTATGGGCCCAGGGTGGGCATTCATTATGGAGTAAGGCGATCAGAGCCCTGCTCTCGGGGAGCCGCCACTGTGAAAGAAAGAGGGCAGCGACCAGCCACGCTGACATCTGGGGCAGAGGGAAGACCCAGGGGCGGGACAGTGCCCGGCATGCTGGAAGGACAGCAGAGGGGCTTTGTGGCTGGAGGGGCCTGCTAGGTGGCCAGAGGGGAGCTGGGGGCAGAGCTTACGGGAAGCCAGGGTGTGCAGGGAAGCTGGCTGCCACCAGACACGGAGACCACTGGAGGGTTGTGACGGAGGGTTTTTAAAGGCACACGATGCTGCTGGGTGGAGAACAGACTGTACCGGGAGGAGGGGAGGTGGCCAGGGCAGCAGGGAGATCGCTGAGGTGGCAGTCACAGGGGCACGAGACGGACCCGCGTGGCAGCAACTGGAGGGCAGAGAAGTGGTCAGATTCTGAGTGCTTTGCTGGAAATGTGCTGTGGGACCCACGCAGGAAGCATCACGCCTGTTCCCTGCTCCGCTCTGGCCTGGGGGTCCCTTCCCACGGGAGCGAGGCTAAGCACCGAGCCCAGGGCCAGGCACGCGGGAGGGGCCCCCCCTTGCTCCTTCCACGGCACCGAAGCACTTACCTCTGCCCCAGCCTCGGGGCTTCGGATGCCACCCTCTCCGGGGTTAAGGCCGCACGCAGTCTCCTCTTCAGGAAGCAGTGTGAGCTTGAACCCAGGCCCGCGACCCTCCTGAGCACTGGTTGTCCCACGGCGCAAGCCCACGAGGCACACACCAGGTCGCACACTTGGGACACCTGGTTAGGATCTGGCCTGGGACCTCACCCCTAAAACTGACCCCCCACATGGCATATCCAAATACTTCCCTTCCAAGGGGAACAAGCTGACCAGCCTCTCTTTACCGAGCACGTCCATGCTCCGGGCGACATGGCAGGATGCCCGCTCTGCGCGGCTACTCGGGGCCTGCTTTCAGGGTGCAGCACGGATGGTTTGCTCCCCAACCCCCGCAACTCTTCACGAGCAAGACTCACCCGGTGCAAACTCAGAAACCCAACACGCCAGCCTCACTTCCCTGCTAGCCACGACTCAGAGACCACAAGAATGACCACTAGGGGAGGTACTGCTCTTCCTTACCTCCCCCTGCATCTCCCAGCTTCCTTTGCGGTGGGGCTGGGGCCACGTGACTGACTCTGGCCACTGGGTTGAGTGGAACAGATTTGTATCGCTTCCGGTTTGGGGCACTTAAGAACGGGGCGGGGGGCGGCATCCTGTTGCCCACTTTCCCCTCCCCTGCAGTGCCGATCTCCACAAGCCAGCCCTTGGGAGGTGTGACGCCGTAAGACCACAACAGCCTGGGTCTCTCTGTTGCTGCAGGGAAGACAGGAACCCTAGAGAGGATCTGGCACTCATCAAAAAATGCCTGAGTGAGAAATAAACCCAGGTATTCATTTCCTAAGAGTTCACGGCTAACTTGCTACCTACCACAGCACAGCCTGGCCTGCCTAACACAAAGAGATTTTCTCAGCTAACTTTGGCCACGGGGGACTTCTGCCTGGCTTGTGTCTTAGATGACCAAGGTCGTGCGTGCCACAAACACATCACTGCTCATCAGCCCAACAATCCCGCGGGGCAGGTATGATCAGCCCCGTTTCATAGACCAGGCAGCTGTGGCAAAGACGTCCAGTGACTCGTGCAGGGTCACCCAGTCAGCAAACCACAAGGGCAGGGTTCAAGCCCAGGCTCTGTCCACGGTGCCATGCCGACTCCCCGCTGAACCCCACCTGTGTCTTCACCTCTCAGGTCCCGTTCCTGGACGAGAGCTCCCACTGGAGACAATGGGTTTGCCAAAGACAAAGAACAGAAGCAGGCAAGAGGGTAACCCTGTCCTGACTTCTGAAGGACATGGCAGAACCCGCAGCTAACACCCCAAAGAAAACAGAACAATTGTTCAGTAAGAAACAAAATATTTTTTTTTACTGTAAATTACTTGCAAATGTTCACGTTTCCAGTGTAAGTCATTAGAAAAAGATCCCCAAGAAAAACTTGGTTTATCTAATGTGAAAGAATGGTATAACTTACAAAAAAATAAATATATATTTCCACCTAAAAGAAGAAAGATGCTTCTCTGGGTGTGAAGTCAGCAATGTAATTCATAGCGAGTATGAATCCTGGAGCAGCAGTGACCTTCCTCTGCGTTTTCGGGTCTCGCTTTGGTCTCAGAGAAACCACGAAGGACTCTGCTCCTCCGTTTTCTTCCAGGAACATGTGGACCACCTGTCACCTGCCAGCCAACGTGGCTGGGAATCCCTGGGAATGCTGCTCCTCAACCAACACCTCCTCCCAAGAAATTAAACTCTTTAGACTATTTTTCCCCCTGGAGCAGCACTTAAAGCCAAAAAAACAAAACCAAAAAAAAAAAGCCATCACTCATATTTGTGAATGGGTCCTTTTCTTGTCCTGGAAGAGACTCGGTCATGAAATGTCGAGTTCTCCACACTGCCATCCTTCAAGCCACCCAGATGCCAGGGGCGAGGGGAAAAAAAAATCTAACCACACAGAGGAGACTCAACGGGGCCCTTTTCAGTCCCAACCGGCCGTACCTGGGAGGTACCTAGGACTCTTGGCCTTGACCGCTTCATCACCATCAGCGGATCTTCTCTCTCAGGGACTAGGGCAGTAAAGCCATCCTAGTGATGGGCAGGAAGAGGGAGCAAGGAAAGCAAGGCGAAGCCTGGAAGGGATGAGGAGCTGAGCGGCCGGGCTGGGGAGTCGGTACTGAGATGCTCTCCAGTCCCAGACAGCCCGCACGTCCCAGCGAGTCCCATCAGTGAGAGGTCCGAGGACGTGGAGGCCGCCGCTGGCCTGGGAGGCGAGTACCGGGACAGCAGGGCCGGGACGCGGGTTCCCAGCGTCTGAGCGCCTGGAAGACCAGATGGTTGGTAAGAGGAGTGTGCGTGGCCCTCAGGGTACTGCCTGAGGGGAGAGTAATCTTCCCAGGCCCCTCACTCCCCGCTGCAGCCCCAAGGAGACAAAGCACGCCGGGGGTTGCTGGGGACAGCCGTCGGGGGCCGGGGAGCTTCTCAAAGACGGAATCTGTTGGCTTTGGCTGGAGAGATCTGAGGCAGTTGGCTGGATTTGGTCACTAGCGTTATTTTATGAAACCACTTTCTCTGGCAGTCTGGCTGCCAAAACCACCTCACAGAGCACCAAGAGCACGAGCGTGCGTTCCCGGGGGCCTGAGAATATATGTGCGTCTTGCAGGGGCCACGGAGGCAAGGGCAGGAGTGTGTTCTGGGTGGGCTGCATCTCTGTGTGTCTCCTGCATCTTCACGGCCAATTCCAGCTCGGGGGCCAGACGGTGGCTGCTTTGTGAGTTTTGGTTTTGGGGGTTTTTTTTTTTCCTCTTTTTTTTTTTTTTGGTTTCAGTATACAGGAGGCTTGGGTTCCCAAGGGCGGTGCCTCAGAACGTCATCCCGACGCTGGCGTGTTGGCCCTGCAATTCTGACCAGATGCGCCAGCTCTGGGGCTCACACCAGGCCAGCATCTTTGGCCATGCTGTAGAAAAGACCTCTCTGCTGGAGGAGGTCGGAGGGCTGGCCGCACTCCCGGATCTCTCCCTTGTCCAGGACGATGACCCTGCAAGAGGAGGAGACACAGACGTGAGGGGAAGGGAAGGGGTCTGCATCTCGTGCCCCCAAAGAGCCACCCGAACAAATCCCTGCTTTGGGTCAGGACCCTAACACCTTCTGTTAGGACTCCTGCAGTAGCCTTCCAACTGGCTGCCATCCTTGATCCCTTCCGGTCAAAGTGCTGGGATGCTTACCCCGGGAAGGGCTCTCACGTTTTCTACTTCGTTCCCAGCACCGTGTGCTTTCGTGTGTTCATGTGCTTATTGTCTGTCTCCACACCCAGCCCCCAACTGACCGCGAAGGTCCCTCAGGCAGGCTCCCTGTCTGATACCTCCTTGCTGAGACCCTAGTGCCTAGAATAGGGCCGAGAATGTGGCAGGCGCTCCACCCGTGTGTGGACTGAATACACGATGGAGGGATGTCAGAAATACCCAGGGGGAAGAGAGGGCTGTCCCTAGACACAGGACGGTGCCGAGCATCTGTGCCGGCGAAGTCACCTCGTGTAGTCCATGATGGTGTTGAGCCGGTGTGCAATGGTGAGCACGGTGCAGTCCTCAAACTGCGTCCGGATGGTCGACTGGATGAGGTCGTCCGTTTCGAGGTCCACGGCCGCCGTGGCCTCGTCCAACACAAGGATCTTGGTCTTCCGCAGCAGAGCCCGGGCCAGGCACACAAGCTGGCGCTGCCCGACGCTGGACCAGGAGGAAAAGACCAGGGGACAGAGGGTCAAAACCACCCCCCGACCCTGAGCCCAGGCCGGAGCTGGGAGAAGAGGAAGGGGACACTAGGTGTTAGCAAGGCCAGGAGCGCCCTGCGACTCCCCGCTCCCCGTGCCCGACGCCAGTGACTGCTCAGGACGTTCCAGCTGTGGAGCCGGAGTTGGGCTCGGTGGGGATATCCAAAACGTGTGACCAGCTCAGCATGGGCCACGGGACAGGTAACAAAATGACCCCATATCTGTCTTCTGTAGGTCCTCCCACTTGACTCTGGACTCAACCACACGTCTTGCTTTGGTCGACGGGATGCCGGCAAGCGAGGCCAGCGGAGGCTCGCAGACGGAATGCGCACCTCCGCTACGGCCATGACAACATGCCTGGGCTGGTCCGCGGGGGGATGAGGGACGGGTGGAGCCGACCCGAACTGCCGCAGCGGACCCCCAGCCATATGAGGGAGCCGAGAACAGCAGGGCCGCCTGGCTGACCACCCGCAAGGGTCTGAGCAGCCGAACGCATCTGAGGATTGGTGGTTGGCTGTCACAGGGATGGATGAGCCATGAAGGACACTGGAGCAGAACTCAGGTTCCCTGCGGCACCGGGCAGTCACACTGTAGTTGCTGGGTCACGGGCGGATCCCGGGGCACAGGCCAGGGCAGCTGGGGCAGCAGGTGGTGACTCGACGGGCTCGGAAAAGTGCCATTTACTGACCAAGAGAGAAGCCTTTCAATAGTTGAACTAACAGTCCCACTCAATTGACTAAACCCGGTGTAAGAGAAGAACCACATTGGCCATCCTGGTTTTATATCTCATGGTACAACGAGCCTGGACTGAAGCCCACTTTACAGATGCTGAAATCGAGGCTACAAGAAGTGAAGAGAAAATGGCTCATCCGTGGCAGAGCTGGGACTCAAACCCAGGCCTGACACAGATGCAGGAGGACAGACTCTTCAAACACCTCGACGGAGGCGGAGCCGAGGAGACCCGTCAGGGCCTCACACCCCTGCTTACCTCAGGTTCTCCCCGCCTTCCGCACACTCGTGGTTCAGCTTGTCGGGAAGGGCGGACACGAAGTCCTTCAGGTGAGCCAGCTCCAGGGACGTCCAGACTTCCTCATCTGAGTACTGGCTGAACGGGTCCAGGTTCATGCGGAGGGAACCCGAGAACAAAACAGGGTCCTGTTTGAGAAAAGATGGCAGATGGCAGGTGAGGCTCACGTCATGATGCCTGCACCCGGGGCAAACAGGTGCGACATGAACAGTCTGGCCAGAATCGCTCAAGACGGGGTTCCAGAGTTCCTTGGAATCACTATTTCTGGAGATGTTAGTAACGGGGGGCAAAGGTTTGGAAAATCCTGGGTTAAGTGAAATAAAATTTCTTTTGGGAAAGCTTCCCAGAGTCTCCAATACACGGAAACTTCTGGTGGGGAGAAGCGGCATGGGTAATTCCTAATCATAAAGTACTGTGGATCCCTCCCTGTTCCCTGCCTCCAAAGGAGAATCTTAGAAAAAAATTTTAGGGAAAATAACACGACAAGGCAAGGGTGTGAGGGAATCACAGCTACAGAAATCAGTCTAGAAAATTCCTATTTCTCGCCTGGCTCTTGAGAGGCTTATTCTTGTCCTGAGTGAAGCCAGCAGGAGTGAAGGAATGATACCCGGTTAATTCCCAGTGTTACTCATACGCTCAGGGGAGATTCAGTGGCGAAGAAACAGTATCATTTCAATGAGAATGATGAAAATAATAAAGTAGGAATACATTTATATTTGTCCTGAAAACATACCTACATCACTCTCACCGCCCGCCCCCCTCACGCCCTTGGTGTACCCAGACCCCACCTGCGGGATGATGGTGATCTTGAAGCGCAGATCGTGCAGGCCTATCTTGGCAATGTTGATGTCATCAATAACGATCTCCCCCTCAGCAGACTCATTGATCCGAAACAAGCCCAGGGTCAGGGACGACTTCCCAGCTCCTGTCCGCCCCACGATGCCGACCTGGGGGACAAGAAGGGCCCAGGGTGAGGTGGGGATGCCAGTGTCTGGGGGTTACCTCCCACCTGCCCCCCACACTAGGCCCACATTTCAGGTGTCTGCCCTAAAGCAATTCAGTCATCTGGTCGACCTGACTCCCACCACATTCCTCCCCATCAGCAGCTTCCCAGGGACACTCCTTCAGGGGCTGTATGAAGGGTCAAGAAGGACTTCCTTCTCTGTGCCACCTCTTTTGATAAATTAAAATGATACTCAGCTCTTTTGATAAGTTAGTACAGACCTCCCAAAGAGACAGAGCTCACAGAGAAGGGATTTTCAAATAAAGCCCTATTATTTTCAACTCTAGATAATGTTAATAATTGGGTATTTTCCCCCATACTGTTTTTCAATCCTTTGATGGTGAGTTTTCCATCCTGAGCTGTCAAAGTACCTTAAAGATTCAAGCAGATCCCCCTGCATACCTCCTCCCTCCAACCCAGCTGCAGGAGCAACGAGAGGTTACGGACAGGACCCAGTCTCCACTCATCCTCCCCTGAGGAAACGGGGCTCCCTGCTCTGTGGCCAATCACTGACATTCCTGACATCCAATTACAACTCTCCCCTTCTCGTCTGGGCTCTTGAAAGGCAGGCTTCCTCCAGCCTCTAACAGAAATGTCACACGGCAGAGTCTCATGATGGAACATAAGCCGTGAAGCCTCAGTGAGAACACAGTCCACTCTGTTCTTCCCCTTGGTAGAAGTTAGAGAAATTATCTCATGGGAACGAAACATTCTGAGCCTTGGGGTAGGAACAGTTTAGCAAACACATATGTTCAGAGACGAAAGAGACTCTGTCCTCTGCCAGACAGCCAGGAAGACTCTTCGTCTGATTCCTGAGGGTCTAAGGGTCTCAACAGCAAGGACATCTTCCAGCAACAGCTTGGGACTAGGGATATATTCCAGAATTCTGACAACTTCACACATTCACTGAGCCGTCCCTAGTAGTGACGATGGCATCTTTCTATTCTAGAGGTGGCCAACTCGAATTCCTTCAGGGGCCAAGTAGGCACAAAAGTGAGATGGGGAGGGACTGGGTGAGCTTGGAGGCTCTCATCTTGTCTACAACGAACCAGGCAGGAGTATAAGCCCAGTGTTGTTAGATGTTTGATCTTTCAAGAAAAGCAGGAAGTTGGGGTGCCCAGGAGGCTCAGTCGGTTAGGTATCCAATTCCTAATTCCGGTTCAGATCATGATCTCAGGGTCATGAGACTGAGCCCCCACACTGGGTGTGGAGCCTGCTTAGGATTCTCTCCCTCCCTCTGCCCTTCCTCCCACTACCAGTGCACATGCTCGCTTGCTCGCTCAAAAAAAGGGGGGGGGCAGGAAATGAATTTTTATATAAGACATAGCAGATTTTCCAGTATTTGCAACAGATTCAGATTTTTTTCAAAACATACCTGCGGGCCTCATCTGGCTCCCTGCTAACAGTATGCAATGTGGCTGGGACACTCTAGCAGCTTCTACTTCCACAAGCCCATCTCAGAAAAGGCCACTCTACCCGACGGAATCAGACCGTGATAAACTGGGGAAATGACGCGCCTGGTTGCACCTGCCTGGTTGCAAGCGATGCCCTGCTGTGAACAGTCAGGGGGAGGAGGCGCACCCACCTTTTCCCCTCCATCGATGGTGACGTTGATGTGCTTGAGAACCAAGTCCAGGTTTTCTCGGTATCGCAGGCCGTAGTCACGGAATTCTACTCGGCCTACCTGAGGCCAGGTGCTGGGCGGAGTCATTTCCTGGACTTGCCAAGGAGCCTAGGATGGGGCAAGATAAGGAATCTTCAGTCCGTCTCAGCAGCCTAAGGCTACCGGCAAGCCGGCTGCACATCCCCTCTGACCCCTCTCCCTCCCTCTGGCTCACTCTGCTCCCCAAGCGGCTGCACTGTTTCTAAAACGCACCTGCGCACCCTGCTCCTGGGGCCCTGCACCGTGCCTGGAAGGCTCTTCCCCCATCTCCCCTCTGCGCGTGCTCCCTCACGTGCGGCTGATCTCGGGCCACTGAGATCACCCCCTGGCTGTGTACCCTCCATCCCCTCCCCTGCTCCGTTCTCCCTCACACCGCGTGGCACCTCCTAGCACTTGAGCTGTGCTTTTATTTGATTATTCTGCTCCCCATCCCCCCTGGAATGTCCACTTTATGAAGACAGGTTCGTTCACTGTTCACTGCCATACTCCAGGCCCTACAGCACGCAGCAGGGACTCCATGAATATTTATGGACTGATTCGATCAATGAGTGGTCTTCTCTGGACGGACGCAAGGGTAGAGGTGTTACTCCAAACGCCTCCTACGTGTGGAGAGCAACTATAAAAGCAATGGCTAATGCTTTTAAAGAGCACGGTCACGTGACCTCATTTAATCCTCACTACAGTCCCATGAGTGGGGTCCTTGCACGTGAGGAAACTGACACAGAGAGGGTAAGTAACTTGCCCAAGGTCACACAGCTCTTATTTCTGAAGAGCTTCTTAGTTCAGTTCAACATTTCCTGAGCGCTACAACTGGATGTGCTCTGGGCCGGGCTTGGGGCTAGCTTGGGGAAAGCTAAAGAATGGAGAGGACAAAAGAAAACTTTCATCCTTTCTCCCCCACAAACTTGCTATATTAACTTTTTTATAACAAGCATATTTCCCTTTTATAAATTTAGGTATATAAATGAATGGATAGCTGTAAGAACATGAGGGCACTGGAGAGAAGTAGACGGAACTTTCTAAGAAAATATATTCTATATAAAGACATGTATTTTTAGTAGCGATAAGACCCTGGATAATCTTTACTTTCTTTTGTATTTTTCAAATATGTTCTTATTCTAAAAACATAAAAACAATTATAAGTAAAAAACATGGTAACTTCTTAAAAAATCAATTTCATTTCATACTTTAAATGATGAACTGCATGGCATGTGAATTATATCTTAAAAGCTGTTGTAAAAAAAACCAAAAAAAAACAAAAAAACTCAGGGGTGCCTGGGTGGCTCAGTTGTTAAGTGTCTGCCTTCGGCTCAGGTCATGATCCCCGGGTCCTGGGATCGAGCCCCGTGTCGGGCTCCCGACAGGGAGCGAGAAGCCTGCTTCTCCTCTCCCACTCCCCCTGCTGGTGTTCCCTCTCTTGCTTTGTCTCTGTCAAATAAATAAATAAAATTAAAAAAAAAAAAAATTCAGTGCAGTGGGAAAAACCCCTGGTGTAACACATACATTTCCACAGGGGGTGCTCACACCACTCTGAATAATGCTCTCTGATGAAGTGGGACCTGGGTCACCTGTGTGAGAGTGTTAAGAATGGGGCATGGCTCACCTCTGTAGATCCCTCAAGACAGTTTAACCAGGGCCCTGGTCTCATTCCCAAAGGGCACCTTCTTGGGAGGCAGTGTGCCAATGGCCCAGACGCAAATTCTAGGTCAGCCATTTACCAGCCATGTAATCTTGGGCAAGTAACTTAACCTTGAGTCTCCGTTTCCTCACCTGTAAAATGGGGATCATGACAGAACGGGTGTTACGAGGCTACGGGAAGGCTGTATGAATTACATCATGTCAAATGTGTGCTACAGGGCCTGACGCCCCTCCGAGGGCACAATATGGGTCGCTGTCCTTCCTGGTGGTGGTGGCGATGGTGGTGTCTCCCCAGGTGATCGTTACTGTCACTACCATCACTACAGGTGGTGGTGTGCAGGCAGAAAAAGGCAGTTTCTGAGGACAATGCGGCACTGAAATCTGGCCACTGGGGTCCTACTCCTAGCCGTTCCGACCACGTGTAACCTCGGGTCAGCCACTGTCCCTCCCTAGGCCACCCTTTGCTCCATCTATAAAATGGGGACTTTGGCTGAATAACTGCAGGGCTCCCCAAACTTGGGTCAAATCCTTACCACCGTCACCATTTTTACAATATGCATATACTGAGCCTCTTGTGAGTGACTTTCCATGCTCTGAATCAACTCACGGGTACTTAATCTTTAAACTTCAAAGAGAAAATGAGTGTCTCGTTTTCCATAACAGAAGTCCCCCACACAAATATGTGACAAGTAACGGAAGACAATTCTTGTTGAACAGAAGCCGCCTGTCGAAGGCACACAGGCTATGGCTCAGCGGACTGTGCGGGTTAAGCCACACTGAAGAGGTCAGGAGAGGTCAGGCCGGGGGCTGGCTTTACCTCCTTCTCCGTTTCTGAATACTCCTTCAGCCTCTCCACCGCCACGATGTTGGTCTCCATCTCGGACGACATGCGAACCAGCCAGTTCAAGTACGTGGTGACCTGCGGGTGGAAGGGTCACACGGAGCTTCTAGAGTGAGCACGAGTTGCTTTATCTTTGGGAAGTAATTACGAATTATGAAATGTGTTAGGTAAGACAGGTCCAGAAAACGTCCGCCTCACGTACCGCCATCACCCGGACGGCCTACACTGCACCTCGTAAGGAAACACGTTGCGAAATCACCCCCGGGCCACACAAGTCATCAGAAAGGGCACCAGAAAATATTCTGAACTAGATGGTAAGAGGAAAATACCATGCATCCAAATTTGGGCGCCCCAGCGAAAGCCGTGATGGGAGGGTAAGTCACAGGACAGCATTCTTCCTATAGCTGGAGGCACCCTGTCGGCTGTCGCCAGCTTGCCTTGACTAGTGGGGGAGTCCTGACCACGCGTCTCACCGCCCCGCCCCGGCGCCAGTGGGTCACCGGGCTTCTCCAGTGCCGCTCGACCCCATCCGCTCCCCCAGCTCCTGCCCGGGTTCAAAGCGAAGGCCCAAGAACCTGAGGACTGACTCCCCCACGAAGAGAACGAGAAAATCCGGCCGAGAACAGCACCCCCCTTACCTGCAGCGAGTATGACACGGACAGGCCCACCAAGCCGGCGCTGAGACTGTGTCTGGAAATCACGGCGAACAGGGCGGCGAACAGGACGATGCAGTTGCCTACACACTCCAGCCGCACCGCCAGCCACCTGCCCACAGACACACAGGCGGGCGGGACAGACAGACAGACAGACAGAGACACACACACACACCTGGAGTCAGTTTTCCAGAGATCCAGTGTCTGGTTCAAGCTGGGGTGGGGGGGGGGCACTTTGCTAACTGCCAGAATTCCCTGCGAGGTCCCGAGAAAGGCCTTGTCACAGGGGAAGGACAGCCAAAGGGACACGGCCTCGCTGCTTCCTCATCAATCTGACAACCCCAGGGATTAAAACGGAGTTCTCCAGAAACCGACTTCCCAGGAAACTGAAGCCTGCCTTGTCAAAAACCAACTTTTTTCTCACTGGAAGCTTTAAAACATACCCATCTTTAAAATGATGTCCGGGAAAATTTCTAAATACTAAGAAGTCGTCAACTGTAAAGAGGCACCAATGATTTAAAATAACCTTCCCCTGGGGGTGCCTAGCTGGTGATCTTATGGAGCGAGATCAGGGGAGAGTGAGACTCTCGATCTCAGGGTTGTGGGTTCAAGCCCCAGACTGCGTGTAGAGGTTACTTAAAATAACCTCCTCTTGGCAGTAAAGGGGGAAGGGAGAGATAAGCGACTATTTTCAATGTTGCTATAATGTTCCCAGAGCGAGATCATCCTCCTTTTAGAAATGTTAAAATGGATTATTTTACCTCTTAAACAGATTATTGGTTAAAAGCTAACTTCTGTAAGATACCACATGGCATTAGAAACGTTAACGTTTCAAGGTGTAAAGCATTTTGGGGAGATGAGGGTGTTGATCTTTCCGTCACTACGGCCCTTAAGATTCATGTGACTGATCTTCCTGGGTGTGTAGCTTCTCCCAAAGACAGCCAGGTTTGATAAACTGAGAATTCTGCAGAGGCAGGCAGGGTCTCCCAACAATTCATGGTTTCCTTGCCCAGTCTGACATTATAGGGTCATCCAGGGTGCTGTCACCCCCTCCCCAGAATTTTCTATCCCACATCTCAAAACATGTATCAGGACATGAGTGAGGAGGGTACCCTTTTAGGGATCAATCAGACACTTTTCTGAACTTAGTCAACAAGGAGCAAACTTCTGTCCCTTCTTTCTGATTGATGCTACTCACACGCTCGTGATCTTTTGGGCAGGGGAATCTCACGTGGGCCTACCTAAGACTGGGGAATGGCTTCCCAGGCTCATCACATGGGGGTGGGGGGTGATCACCCCTCGGCCGAGAACCAGGACACAAAAATACTAGCTGACTCTGCCCGTCACGGATGATCTTGTATCAAGAGGACAACAGCTAACGGATAGTTCAGGCAGTATTTTCTGACTCCAGAACAACTTGGTCCCGGCTCTTACTCAACGCTTGGAGCTGCAGCGCTCCTGTCTGCTTGCTTTTTTTTTTTTTTTTTATTTGAGATTGAGAGAGAGTGTACAAGCAGGGAGGGCAGGGAGAAGCATACTCCCCGCTGAGCAGGGAGCCCAATGCGGGGCTCGATCCCAGGGCCCCGGGATCATGACCTGAGGACACTTAACGACTGAGCCACCCAGGTGCCCCTCCTGTCTGCTTTCAATGGTCACTGTGTCCCGTCCTCCCGCCAAGTCTAACCACCCTGCGTGTGGGGGCCCGAGCCCGGCTTCACACCCTCCTCCTCCAGGAGCGAAGGCGGAGCTCTTAGTCCTCCACCTCCTCCCACAGGGCCTCGAGCGCCCACCTGTTGGCCACGATGCTGGGGTAATAGGCCTTCTGGTTCTCGTCCACCTTCAGGTCACTCTGGTGGATGAAGCGTTCCTGCTCCTCGAAGGCGCGGATGACGCTGACGCCCAGCAAGGTCTCACTGAAGTGGGAGTAGACCGGGGAGCGGCTCACCGACTCGAGGCGCTTCAGCTGCCGGGACGAGGCCACGTAGAACCTCTGCGGGAAGAGAGCAGCCCGCGAGTAGGCACAGCCCCGCCCATGCTGCCGCGTCCCCGGGGCCGCGCTGGAGAAAGCCTGGAGCTGCACGGTACCTCCGGGAGGCGGCTTGTCGGAGCCCAGCTGCTCTCCACAGGCGCCTGCACTCGGGCACACACAGAGCCCGCCATCCTAGCGGAATTGTTCTTAATTTTTTTTTCAAAGATTTTATTTATTTATTTGAGAGAGAGAGCATGAGTACTGGGGAGGAGCAGAGGGAGAGGGAGAAGCAGGCTCTCTGCTGAGCAGGGAGCCCGATGTGGGGCAAGATCCCGGGACCCTGCGATCACGACCTGAGCCGAAGGCAGACGCTTAACCGACTGAGCTGCCCAGGCGCCCCAATCCTAGCAGAGGTCTAACTACTTTCACAGACATCCCAGCTCACTGAACTCTCGCCAGAAATCCAGCAGGTGCTCATTCCCGCTGACACTCAGTAAACCAAGGCACAAAGAGGCTCGCCCACCTCTCCCCTAAGGTCACGTGGCTACAAGAGGCCGACCTCTGCCCTCTACAGCCTCCCCGAAGCCACTCACCTCTAGGGTTTTATGGCCCCAGCGGCGTGGCTTTCTGTACAGGTTTTGAGGACAACCAGGCCTCAGTTCAAACCCTGACTCCACCTGACTCCGTGGGCAGACGCCCATCTGCTCTGCTCCTGCCCTAACCAGGGCAGATGGAACAAAAGCAACTCGCCCACTGGAAGCCTCGAGGAGCCACGAACAGAGGACAGACTGGTCATTTGAGGATACTGAGTTCTTGTGGCCTTAGTCTCCTTGTCAGTACAAACAGACCGAGGTTCCTCATTCCAGAAGTGCTCAGGACCTCATGTAAATGCAGCCGCCCCATCAGCGGCAGAGCCAGACAGATGAACAAGTCCCAGAAACACAGGGTGGTCAGGGACAAGGCCTCCCTGCCTCCCCGGGCCGTTTTGGGGCAGAGACCTTCCACAGAGAGCAGGAAACCTAACAGGGGACTCTAATGGGGCCCTGAGGTCAGCAGCTTCCTTCTGGATGGCAGCACACATGGTAATTTGAACCCACACTTGGGCGGCCTTTGGGGCCCCCGCAACTCTGTAAGCTAGCCCAGGACCACACCAACCCGGGCAGTCCCAGGACGGTGGCTCTGCCAGTCCCTGAGGACAGGTCAGGTGTCCTCTCACGGCTGTGAACAAACTCTGGAGGCCTCGGCCCTGCGGGATCTGTCCTGTTACCCTCAGCCATGACGCCTCCTCTCCCTGGCTTTCTTTCTAAACATGCCGGATGGAAATCATTCCCAAGAGTTTTCCCTGCTCAACTTACTCCACTTCACATGCGCTCAGAATTTTATTTACTACAGAAAGCTCAGTACTGGTGTTTAGAAAAAAAAAAATTAGCTTCCCTTTTAAACTTCATTCCAGGAGACATAATCCACCCCCTGGACTCACCTTACTCTTTCAGAGACCAAGTGCCCCATGCTCGTGAATAAAAATAAGGCTCGGGGCACCTGGGTGGCTCAGTCATTAAGCATCTGCCTTCGGCTCAGGTCATGATCTCAGGATCCTGGGATCGAGCCCTACATCGGGCTCCCTGCTCCGCGGGGAGCCTGCTTCTCCCTCTCCCACTCCCCCTGCTTGTGTTCCCTCTCTCGCTGTGTCTCTCTCTGTCAAATAAATAAATAAAATCTTAAAAAAAAAAAAAAAAAAATAAGGCTCAATACGCACCTGCCTGAGCCAGGCAGTGTGCTGCGAGCTAAGGACTCGGACCTGTGGCCAGGAGGTTTTCACGGACGCCAAAATATTCCACAAAGCAGAAATGCCTCCTACCGGCAACAAGGAAGCCCCAACACAATTCCACATCATCTTACCTCTTGCATCCCCTTTATATAAAAAGGACTTGCTTTTGAATTAAAACAGTAATGGATATCCATTTAAAAATGGGAGGGGGGATACAGATGGAAAGATTAAATAAAAATTAAATTACGGGGGTGCCGGGGTGGTACAGTCAGTTAAGTATGCAACTCTTGGTTTCAACTCAGGTCATGATCTCGGGGTCGTGGAAGGGAGCCCCGCTCTGGGCTTTGTGCTCAGGGTAGAGTCTGGTTGGGACTCTCTTCCTTTCCCTATGCCCCTCCCTCCCGGTCTCTCTCTAAAATAACTAGATAAATCTTTTTTAAAAAGTTATATCCATTACTCTGAGATAAGCACTACTTATTCCAATCTCAGTGTATAACCTTTAGATCTTTTCTGAAGAAAGAGAGAGAACGCATGTACATCTAAAACCCACTTTCTAATCAAGATATAACATACATTTCCATTACACTAGAAAAGGCACCAAATCTTCACAGGCTGATGAATTTCACATGTATTTACACCTGCACACCCACTACCTGACCAAAATCTAGAACATCTCCAGCATCCCAGAAAATTCTTGCGTCCTCTGGGTCAAAACCCCAAGTTGTTTCTAGTTTGGGGCTATCATGAACCAAGATACTAAGAACATTCTAGCACCTTTACCACCCCCCCCCCGCCGGATGCATTCTCTCATTTCTTTTGCATATACCCTGAGAGGAGACTGCTGGGTTGTAGGATAAGGGTATATTTAGTTAAAAGCCATTAAAGAAAAGCACATTCGGGGCACCTGGGTGGCTCAGTTGGTTAAGTGTCAGACTCTTCGTTTCAGCTCAGGTCATGATTTTGGGGTCATGGGACTGAGCCCCACATCGGGCTCTGTGCTCAGTGGGTAGTCTCCTTGAGATTCTCTCTCTCTCTCCCCACCCTGCCCCTTTCCCCACTTGCACGCTCTCTCAAAAAGATAAATATTATCTTTAAAAAGTTTTTTTTTAAAAACCCACATTCTCTCATAAACCCAACCCTTAGAGACACAGTGTTTCCTTCTGGCTGCTTCCCTTTCCAGCCGTGCACGTGTGCGTTATATGCTTGCTCAGTTATATTAACGGTGCGTATACAACAGGATCCTCTGCTGAACTGTCCTTGTTGTTTAAAAATAGTATCGGTGGCATTACAAGAGCATCTCCCTCATCATCCTGTTAACAGACAACAGACCCCGCCACAGCATCACTGTACGCGGGCCCAAGGTCCTGCTGGGGGCAGCTATGGGAGCCACGAACGCAGCACGTGGCCTGTTTTGTTCTTTTGAACTGGGTCCCTCGGGGAAATGCACAGCTAGGGTATGAATGCAGGTCGTATTTTTGGCAAATGCAGCAGGACGAGTTTCCAAAAACGCTGGTGCCAATTTAAAGAGAACACAATGAGGGTGCGAGAACCGGACCAGCTCGCTCTGGTCCCACTTGAGTTCGCGCCCACCGACCACTGGGCCGCAGTGTGGTGGAGTCTGGGGGCTGGCTGACTGGACCAGCAGCCGCAGTGCAGCCTGATGCAGGGAACACTTGGCGGTTCTCACCTTGTGCTGCGGTCATTAGGCTCCCATCTAAACCACTGGTCCCCACCGGCAGCTAAGCTTTTCAGGGCAAAGAGGGGCAGCGCAGCATCGTGGTCACCAACACAAGCTTTAGGATCAGACAGACGTGAGTTGGCACTCCCAGCTCCGCCACCTGGCCCTTGACATGCTCACCTACAGCCGCAAGCAGTTTATGCTGCAATAACCTAAGGGACCACAAGCACTCGGCTGTCACATGCTCTCTTGCTCTGTTCCCTTTCCTCGTTCTCGTTTTCTGAACTACAGATTGATGGCTGGAGCTCCAGCAGCCATCTTGGACCATGAGATCAACTTAAGAACGAAGGCTTATGCAAAGACGGGAGAACAACAACAACAAAAAAAGCAGTGATAGTTTAACAGTCCGGGATATTAACAGACTTGTGAAACTGCCATACCAGCCCCGAATGGCCCCACCTCTACATTCCTACCATGAGAGAAAAAGACAGATGTCTATCCTGTTTAAGGTGCTGTTATTCACATCTCCACTTTCTGCATGGGGCTTAGGACCTAAAGAATTTCATAAAACTCTCTCAATTTTAACAATATTATTATTGCTATAAGTTATTATTGTTATTGTTACTATAAATCATTATAGCTTTCCCCCTCCCTTTGACAGGTATTTAAAACTGACAAAAACAAATTCAACCCTCCTCCAGCAAATCCCCAACAGCTCCACGCTGGGGAAATGGTCAGATGAAGTGAGCCCTTAGCTCACATGGAAGTAGTGTACACAGCAGGCCCCCTCCTGCACCCCGAGACCCCACTTCTCACCTGGACGAAGAAGTAGATGAGGCCCAGCGGCGGGATGATGATGGCAGCAATGGGAGTGGCCAGCAGGATGATGATGCAGGCGCCCATGACATTGAACAGGGAGCCCATGAACATCTTGATGACCTGCGGGATCATCGAGTCCACCGTGTCCAGCTCCTTAGAGAAGCGGTTCACCAGGTTCCCGCTGGGGGTCCGCTCGAAGAAGCTCATGGGTGACCGGAGGACGTTCTGTAGCAGGTCCAGGTGCAGGCGGCGGGAAGCCAAGATCCCCCCGATGGACACCACCATGGAGTAGCCGAACACAGAGATACCTACGAACACTCTCACGGTCAACACCATGATGGGACATGGGCCAAGCTGGGGGTGGGGAGAAGTGGCCATGCGGATGCAACGGGCCTGGACTCTCAGCTTCTAAGAATGATGACGAGGCTGAACAGGAGGAGAACAGTAGTGGCTACTGTTTACTGAGAACTCACTATGTATTAGACACTATGCAAGAGTTTGACATGAATCTACTTCTCACACTGACTCTGTATCATTCCTCTTAGCACCCATTTTACAGAGAAGGACACTCAAGGTCAGACAGGTGAACCTCTCTGTCCTGGACAGAAATCAGCCAATCAGAAGCAAAGCTGGGGTTTCCAATCCAGGCAGCCTGCTCCAAGGTCATGCTCTTAATCCATGTACCACACTCCTCTAGACCAGTGCCATGAGACAGAACTTTCTGTGATGACGCCCATGTTCTGTATCTATGCAGTCCCATGTGGTAGCCTCTAGGCATGTGGGGCTACTGAGCACTTAAAAGGTGGCTAGTGGCTACCAGAGTGGACAGCTCGGCTCCTAGAACAGATGCTGCTGCCGTGTGAGCCCAGGTAAACATCGCACCCTCCCTGTCCCCCACCTTCCCTCAGTGATCATGCGGAGGCCAGCCCTTTGCCCTGGGGGCGGGGGATGGAGGGGTGTTAGGGATTAAGAAATTGAAAAAAATCCCTCTCTGCTCTTCTGGTTTTCTTTCAAAGCTCTCTCCTGGAGAGCATGAGACATCTGTGGCTCCTCCACACAGCCCAGAGCAGGGCACCCATTCTTCGAAGACAGATTTCATAGGGAGGGGCGGGCCTCCTCAAGGAAGCGAGGGCTAAAACGATGGACTCTGAAGCCAACAGTGCCAAATCCTGTGTCACCTCCCAGCTGTGGGCCCTTCCCACAAGTCACTCAGCCTCTCTGAACCCGTTTCTTTATCTGTGAGATGGGGACAATGACATTTAGCTTGCAGCACTGTCGGATGTAAAAAGCTATGTGCTTAGTGTATCGAAAGTACTCAAAAATATACATAGATTTATTGTCTACACTTACACATCACAGACACTGAACGTACATATGTATGTGGAGACGCTCACTGTTTTCATGAGCACCTGAACACACAGCTCACGCACTGTGCAGCACAGTGACTAAGAGCACGGGCTTCTGGGCCAGAATGCCTCATTCGATGACAGCTCCGCCATGTACTTGCTGTGTGGCTTTGGGCAACGTACTTAACCTCTCTGGGCCTGAGAGTCTCTATTTCTAAAATGGGGAAAACAGTAGCTGCCACCTCTTGGCCCTGTGCTGCAAAAACACACAGAAGGGATTAGAAGCTAACCAGGCACCAAGGAAGGGCTCAGCGGACATTGGCTCTTACTATTAATGCTCTTGTGTTTGGGGACCTTCATGGGCCCACAGGAAGGGCAAACAGCGTTTCTCAATCTCGTCACTGCTGACGTTTGAGGCTAGATCATTCTCTGTTGTGGGGGCTGTGCTGTGCACTGCAGGGCGTCTGGCAACATCCCTGGCCTCAGCATGCCCCTAACGCTACCCCCTCTCTAAAGCTGTGATGGCTCCAAGCACCTCCAGACGTGGTGAAATGTCCCCCGGGGGACAGCACAGTCTGCACTGAGAACCACCAGCATAAACCAATTCCCACTCTCAGACAGCAGGTAGGAGTCCACAAATGAGACTTTACAGGAGCCCCACCACCCTCACTGAGCAACAAGGGGCAAGGGCCCTTGCTCACCAATGCTGGGGGGGGGGGGTGGTGCTGCCATCCCTCAACTTTGCTCATCTATAAAATGGGCATGTTAAGAGCTTCTCTCCATCTCCTAGGGCCCCATTAAACAAAGCATTCAAGAAATATTCACTCTACAAGTACCTGAGTGTCTACTAAGGGATAGGTACTGTTCATGTGAGTTTGGCTTAGTTTGAGGGTCCACAAAGCCCTGACAAATGGAGGGACTTGACTCCATAATAAGACATGGAAGAAGCAGTTTCAAGTGCCCAGATGGGGCGGGCAGGGGAGGGTGGGAAGGGGAGGGCCCCCACCTTGCGAAATGCCCAGGGCTCCATAGACGCTCAGCCGGACTTTAGTGTGTTCCTGGGTCCCATTGACGATGGGGTCATCAGTCCAGAGGCTGAGCCAGTAGTTAGAGGCCAGAGCAGCAACGTGGTTACACAGGAAAAGGAAGATGCTCAGAAAGGAGATGAAAAGTCCGATCGCCTTCATGTAGTCCCAGTACACGGACAGCTTGACCTGTAGACCGGGTGAGAGAAAGCCCTTTGCAGGCTGCCCCCACCACCGCCACCCGAGGACAAGCACTCCAGCAGCAGCTGGGCCATGCTGTCCCCCACCAGCTATGCTCATACTCATGGCACATTCCCCTTAGTTATTTGACCAACAAAGTCAGCGAGAGAGAAAGTCAAGGTCTGTGCCCTCATGGAGCTTCCAGTCAAGTGGCAAGACAGGCTTTCGGTGCCCAGATAAATGTGTAGTTATAGAGAAAAGCTGGAGCAGTGCAGAATTCCACGAGAGTATAAAAGTGGGGAGCTTGACCCACCGGAGAGGTTTAACAACAAAGAGTTAATTAACCAGGTGAATTGCAAAAAAAAAAAGCACTCAGGGCAGAGGGAGCAGCATGTGCAAGGGCCCTGGGGTAGGAGGGAATGCACCATGTGGCAGGAAATGAAAGGAGGCAAAGGTGGTTGGAACAAGATTAAACTGGAGTAGTAGTAGTACTCGGACCACACGGGCTGGAAGAGCCTGTTTAGGATTCTCAGCTTTAGTCCGGGACCGTTAGGAAGCCATCAAAGAGCAAACAGGATGGAGTGACACATTGCCAAGCACCCCAGGGTTGCCTCCCCCCATCTCCTCTGAACAGTGAACACAAATTCCACATCATTTCCACTGGCTTCCCATTGGCTGGCGCCCGCTTAGCCTACTCCCCAGCTCCACGGGCCAACAGGACTTCTTCCACCCCCATATTCCCTGCGGAGCCCCATGAGGGCTAAATGATGATGCGTAGTCATCCGAAGGGTGGCCTGATCTCAACACCAGGGGCCGAGGCCACCTGCTTTGGGCCAGCCCTATGCCCCACCTGCCTGGCTTGGTTTTAGACAACGCCAGGTATCCTAACTTGTGTGTGTGGTTGCTGGCATTTCAAGCTTTTCACACTGAATTTTGGGTCATAAAAACCATTTGTCTGAATTGCAGCCTGGCTAAAAGGTAATAGGTGAAAGGCCAGAGGTCTCCTGTATAACTGAGCATTTCTTTCTGACTTTTCTCTGTATTTCAAACTGAAATACTGGGGGGGCGGGGGAGTGTCCCAGAATTACAATGTTTATTGTCACCGTTTGGCTTCGTCGCAAAGCCAAGCACCCCGCTGACCTGCAGATCCCGGAATTATACTGCAGTCTGAGCACCAAGCTCAGACTTTTTCTCGCGATGGAATTGTTAGGACTAAAAGAGAAATGGAAAGAAACAAATCCCACCACACACACACACACGTGCGCGCGTGAGCGCAGTCACACAAGGGGAAGTGACAGAGGTGTTATCTTGTAGACAACGTCCTCTGATCCACAACTTCCCGCGCAGTGGAAAGGTGTGATTTAAAGCACCCGGGTCACCCACAGCCAACAAAAGCCCCCAGCCACTCAGAGGAGGTGGCATTCCGGACAGCCGAGGCTCGCAAACGCCAGCCCTGGAGTCAGATGGCCAGGGTCCCAATCCTAACTCTGCCGCCCCTTGGCGGCGACCTCGGGCAAGTCACCTAGGCTCTGCCGCCCGTTTCCGGCGCTGGAAAACGGGCAGCACTGGTAGAGGCCCGAGGAGAGAAAAACACGATTTAACATCAACAAAGCGTTCTGCACAGGACCTGGCCCGCAGCGACGCGCAGTGACGCTGGCCACGGCCCTCACTGGGGCAGCCGGCCCTCACCTGCCCTGTTTGCGCCTTGTCCGCCTCCACCAGCTTCCACGCGTCCTCGTTCTCGGCCCCGGCTTTCTGCAGCTCGGCCGTGCTGGTGCGGTGGCGGCTAACGTCCCCGCTGTAGGAGGAGTTGTTGCTGAGCTGTCTGGGGAAACCAAGGCACACGGTGTCAACCAAATGGAAGCCTCACCGCAACTATGCGCCAAACTAGCTCAATCTTCTGATTTTATAGCTGTGACACGCGGAGGGGATCGGTGACACACGGCCCCACGGACGAACTGTTCCTTCACGCAGCTGTGAGTCAGAAAGCACCTCTTGCCCGCCAGCAGTGGTCATCAGCTTTATGAAGACCACGACACATTATCACAGATCATGCGGCCCCAAGCTCTCTTTGGAGACCTCTTCGACGTAGTCCCTTTCCCTTGGGGACTTGTAACCCTGGAGAATGACACAGGTGGATGGGTGTGCGCGTGCGTGTGTGTGCTCACAGTGTGGACCTGTGTGCGGGAATACCCTCTCTCAGCCATGGCTCAGACCCAAACGGGCAAAGGGACGGGGTGTGACTTCCATCCTGCTTGCTGACGCTCCATACCGCCTTCGTGGTTTGCATGCATCAAGGAAGCAAGCATGCAGGCTGGAGGCCCAGGGTGCTGGGAACGGAGGGCTCCAGTTAGAAACCGAGGACGGTAATACAGCCCCCGAGGAACGGAATCCTGCCAACAGCCGTGTGAGCTTCAAAGTGGATCCTTCCCCAGCCCAGCCTTCAGATGAGACCCCAGCCTGGCAGACACCTGTTGCAGCTTATGTGAGATCTGGAGCAGAGGAGCCAGCTAAGCTGTGCCCAGACTTTGCAAGCCCCGAACTTTGAGGTCATCTGTTGCATAGCAACTGATACGCCCAGTGTTCTCTATGCTTCTGCTCAGTCCACCCATGGTTCTCCCCGGCAAGCCTCCCGCCGTCACCTGTCCCTAGGTCCCAGGCCCACCTGCAGGTGCTGCCTCGTCTCGGCTGTCCCAGCAAATTCTCAGAGGGCAGCAACCATGACTGATCACACTGGCCATCTGCCTGAACCCTGGCAGTGCCCTATTCTTATAGGGCGAGGCCCTGTTCTAAGTGATTTACACACATACACCTAGCTCACCACCTCAACAGGTGCACCAACAGAGCAGGAAATATTTCCACCTGTCCCATACGATAAAAATCAGAGTCAGGGCGCCTGGGTGGCTCAGTTGGTTAAGCGTCCGATTCTTGGTGTCAGCTCAGGTCACGATCTCAGGGTGGTGAGACTGAGCCCCACAATGGGCTCCACGCTGAGCGCAGAGTCTGCTTGAGATTCTCGCTCTCCCTCTGCCCTCCCCCCACACGCTCTCTCTCAAATAAATAAAATCTTAAAAAAAAAAAATCAGAGTCTAGGAGGATACCATGGGCAGTGTTCTAAAGGGCAGAGCTGCTCACGCCAATTTCATTCCCAGCCTCATTTCTGTGAAATCTCCCTACGCCAGAGAAGTAACTGCAGGTAGCCCCAGCTCATGCAATAATAAGTGAGTGCTCTTTACTGGGTGTTGATGGAGGAAAGTGTGCTAAGGGCTTCACACGCACTACGTGGAGTCTGTCCCACTACAGCCCTCTGCAGTAGGCACACCATAGACCTTTTCTGACAGGTAAGGAAACTGAGGCACAGAGAGGTTAAGCAACAAAGTCCACAGAATGCTGCTCCTCTAAATCCCAAACAATCTAGCCGAAAGCAACCTCCTTTAAAGCAGCAAAAGCACAGAACTTTGGAGTGCTGGCTCAGCAGCAGGGCCTGAGTTCAAGTCCAAGCTCAGTTTCTGTCTGGCTGCATGACTTAGGGAGAGCTCTCCGTTTGTTCACCTGTAAAATGGGAAGACAGGATTAACCACCTCCAGGTTCAACACACTGCACAGGGCTTGCCATTGTGCCTGGCTCCGGAGGGTGCGTAAAACATCGAGGTCACTATTACTGTGACTCTTTTGGTTCAAATGCTGGCTCTTAAGGCCTGAACATTGCAGGCTCCTCTGAATAACTTGAGCAAAGACCCACATCTTTCAGGGAACTTGAGCGTCACCAAGTGCAGACGGACGGTTACATCCTGAGGCCTGTGTGAGTTGTGCCCCCTGGTAGAGCAACGTGGCCCCCACCCCTCTTCAGGGCCCTGAAACGTGAGCTCTCCTAGCAATCTGGGAAAGGAGGCAGAAAGCCCCCATCTTCCATGACCCCGGGGAGCAGCTTGTGTGACCCTGTTCCTCTTCTCCCCCCCCAGGCAGGGGCCAGAAACAGGGTGCCTGGAGAGTCCGCACGAACGGGGCTCCCTCTCTGCTCATACCTCTGCAGCTGCTTCCCCGCGACATCGGTCACCAGCATGCCATTCTCCATCTGCTTCACCTCCTTCCCTGGGCTGCTGACACTTGTTAACCCTGGCACAAGAGAAGAAAGGGGGAAGTTGCAGTTTCCAGAGCTGGACGCCAAGACCAAAGACATTTAGGAAAACCGGTCACTTGGATGGGACATGGCAGATAACCTGGCCACCAGGAAGCTCAGAAAGCAAAACGTGCGTGGCTAAGGCCACGGACAGGTTCCCGGCACAGGGGCAGGTCTGTGGAGCCAGCTGGCTCCCTTGGGGCAGAGCTGCATGAAACTTAGTCCAAGGGGCCAAGATGCAAGCAGCCAGGTGGGGAACAGCGCACAGCCCTCTGGTCCCCAAGCATGCCAAGAAAGGGTGCTAACTCAAAATAAGTAACAATTAGTTTTGACAAGGGGGAGGAGTCCCCGAGAGCACTCCGCCCCCACCTCCCAGTGCCAAGAGTTAACCCGGACCGTGAGGAGGTCCAGAGGTCTGGAGTAGGGGGTACCCGGAGCACTGCCATTTACCCCAAACAACTGGTATGGCCACCCTGAGGCACACCAGCCAGCCAGCTGCCCCAGTCCCAGGAATTACGCCCCCCACATCAACACTAATCACCATAACCTCAATGACAGGATGACATGACATAACCTCAGTGGCTAACATTTATTGAATGAGTGGTGGCCCCGTGCTGTGTTGAAATACATCATCCCCCTTCATTTGCCCGACTACTCAGTGATGCGTTATCATTCCCCAGGCCCTGATCTCATGCTGGTGCCAGGAGAGCGAGCGAGCCTGCAGGACAGACGCACGGCTGAGGGCTCCCCCGGGGCTGGCCCGGAAGAGGATGGGAGAGCGTGCAGGGGAGACATTCCAGAAGGGGACTAATATGCAGCTCTGGCGGTGACAGGGTGATCCTGGGAACATGCTGATAGAACGCGAACTGAAACCAAATGGCTCTTTCGGACCATGACAGTCACAGTGAGAAATGGAAGACAGCAGAGCGGGGTGGGGAATCATTCTGGGGTTGGGGGCGGGGGAGCTCTGAGCTGGTGATTCTCCATCTTGGCTGTGAATGATGCACGAGGCACCTGGGAATGCCCCTGGCTCAGCTCTGGTCCCTGCAAGGACTCTGCCTGCAGGGAGGCCGGGTCCCCATGCTGAGTCAGAGTGCAGTCTGGGATGGAGTGTTCTCTCACTTCCTAGCTGTGTGTACTAGGGAAGCAATAAACGTCTCTGAGCCTCAACTCTCACATCTGCAAAGGGCGAATGACCACTGCCGCTCCCTTCCTAAGTGGGAGGATGAGTGAGGCCACGCATGGTGCTTGGGAAGTGACAGACCACGGTGGTGCTTAGCTGGTACTCGCCTTTTTATACATGTTCTACGGATAATTCTGGGGTGCAGCCAAGATGGAGAATCACTGCTTTACACATTTCTTTTAATGGCAGCATCTTTTTTACTTATATTAAAAAAAAAAAAAAAAAAGAATGGTAACAAGCAGGACATTCCATGCAGGTGCATGCAGTCAGGGCTCATAAATGCACACAGCACTGGAGGCCCAGGCCTGGCCTTGACCAACTCCCTCTTTGCCGGGACAGGCATGCTTAAAAACGTTCCCAGAGACACAGCCCTATGGCAGGGGCTTCAGACAGCTCCTCGCTCCCGCCTGGCTATGCAGGTCAGCCTCAGTAAGCTTCAGGATTCCCTTCTGCTCCCCACTCAGGATGAGCCCTAAGGTCTGGATGGGAGACCTCACAGTGGCCTCCGGTGGCCCCCTTCTCCACCAATTAGCCCACAGGTTGATACACCGGCGGGGCCACCTGGAAAATTCTCCTCTGTAAGAGGAGAGACCAAGAGTCCTAGAAGGCAATAGGAACATGGGATGGTCCACCACTCCGTCTGTCTCCTTTGTAAGGGGTCAGCTCTTCCCTCTTCCTACAGTCTTGGCAGACCACGGGCGGGAAGTGGGGGGATAAGGGAGGGGCCCATCAAAACCCCTTCCCCAGGACTGTGAACCATCAGTGGCCCCCTGAGGACCAAAGACAGTTCCAGCTGATCCGTCCTAAAGGAGTCTGATTCCCAGAGTTCCCATTTCCTGAGTCCTGATTATTTGGTCTGGCCTCCGATTTCTGAGTGATCTGCTTCCCCTTTCAGTAAACACCCTTGTTGAAGTGGCAGGAGTCAGCTTCCGTGGCTTACAAAAGAGCCCTTTGTCTGGACCCTCGGCTACACTGCTTAAGGAAAGCAGGAGGGAGGGATGGGTCCAGTCCAGCGGTTGGTTCATGCCTGTACCTCACCAGAGGGAGCCAGGGCAGCCTTCCACGGTGAAACTCTGCTAAAAGACATCCCCCCTCTGGGCGCCCACAGCCACCTGCAGTGACTCTGTCAGGCACACATCACCCTGTACTGCCTTGGCCTGCCTACGTCCTGACCATGCCCAGGAGGTGAGGGTGGGATCGTGACAAACCATGGGCCATTCACTGGCCACCCACTATGTGCCAAGCATGTTGCAAACAGGATCTCCTCCAAGGCATGCTAGGTCATTTGACCTACACAACAGTAAAGCTTAGCCCAGGCCACCCAGCTGAGGAACAAGAGATCTGGGGATTCAGACTGTCTCCCCAAGTGCCCACCGCAAAGCCTGGCACACAGTAGGTCCCCAAAAAATGTTCGCTGGATGAACAACGAAAGGGGGTAGAAGTAGACGGTGGAGGGCCTCTTTCTGAGCATGTAGCAACAGGCCCGGTCCGTCTACAGCCTCCCCCTGCAAGCACAGCTACTTCTAACCCACGTGTCACTGACCTTCCCCCTCCACGTCCACCACTTTGCCACCTGAGAATTCACAAGATCCAGGAAAGTGTTAAGAACCAAGGCAACACTCCCTCCCAGAACCCCCAGTTAAATGCCCAGAGTGGATGGATGGAGGTCCTCTCCTAAGGATGAGGGGCAGAGACGGCCGAGGGACCTCATGCACCTATACCTCAGTATCCCCATCCCACTCGGGCTGGGAAGATCCTGACAAGCACACCGCACGGGGCCAGCTCTTTTGCTAAAGGTTATAAACGTGTTTAAACATAAGAAGATCTAGAAAAATGCAGGCCAACCCTCTGTCTCTACACCTGTTTTCATGCCAGCAGAGGGAAAAAAGTCAAGTGTTACAGCCGGGCAGAGCAGGTGTGGCTGGGAGACAGCACAGACTTCAGCTCCAGCCTGCAACCTTCAGCTCCTGAGGACAGATGCTGCTCATGAGAGGGGCCTGGGCGGCACGCAGCCTTACTCTGAGCCAGATGCACATGGAGCCAAGACAAAGGGAAGAGGCGGTGACCTGGCTCAGATTTCATCTTGGCCCCTCCCAGGCTGGGTTGAGGATGCCTTCTTGGGGTTCTCAGAGGCCCCCAGGTTCGCTTCCATCACTGCATCTAGCACCACACCCTTATTTGGCATTTGTCTCCCCAAACAGAAGGGAGACACCCTGAAGACTGTGAGCTCTTAAGAACACAGAGTAGGTCTTCCCCACCACTCTCTTCTCAGCACCTGGCACATCAGCACCAACCACATCATGTGTGGTTGCACAGGGCATGCACTGTATAATCCAGGGGGAACCATTCCCCACAGTGGCTCAAGTACCAGGTGTTCCCAAGGCACCCAGCAGGCGCTCTGGATACACCTGATATGCAGACGGACAGATTAACAGACGAATGGCCAAGTGAACAACCAGAGCTGACTTTCTAGTGCCAGAACAGGCACCCCATGGGCCACCAAGATGCCATCTCAGAAGCCCATACCCACAAAGCCCGTTTCTAAACCAGCCCTGGAGAAATGGGTAAAATCAGCGCCTATTTTCTTCTAACCTGGGATATTTGTACAGCTGTGTTAATGTCCAAAGCTTACGTAGGACATGTCTTAAATAAGCAAGGCATAATGTACTCATTTGCTTATTATAACAGATTACACTGAGCGTCTACTATGTGCCAGGCACTCTTTCCAGCCCTGGGGATAGAGAAGTGACCAAAAAGCCCTCGTGGAGCTTAAATTACAAGGGAGAGAGAGAGAACACACAAAGGTCTAGATCCAGAATTAGCCGTCAGGCAATATTTAGAGCTACAAAGAAAACTAAAGCAAAGGAAGGTAAAAATGAAGGTGGCCGGGGCTGAGGGATGCTAGAAAACAGTTGTGTTTTTTGTTTGTTTGTTTTTGTTTTTTTTTAAGCAAAGCCCCGAAACTCGTAATCTAATAAACGTTTCTCGAGTGCCTCAGGGTAGCAGGTATGGGGCTGTTGTGCTGACAAGCCTGGCACCATCCCTGCTCTTGGACCTCTTCAGTACCACTCCCAGGAGTGGCCCTCAAAGCCACTCAGAGCTCGCTGTTTATTCTCAAGAAGGTTCTGGAACTCTGCTTGGGCACGGGCCAGCAGGCCAGCCTCCCTCGAGGGAAGAATCCAAGTTACTGCTTTACAGTCAACGCTTCGTTTTTGACCAAAAACGGAAGTGACCAGCTGCATCACCCAGCCCGATCCACCCGCCTAGGACCAGAAAGTTCTCCATACTCAAGTGGAAGAAATACAGCCCCTGAAGACAGCCTAAAGGAATGTGCTGTGTGTACGACGGACTCTCCAGCAGCTGTTCGGTGTTTGTGACAGATTTTTGTAATAGGGGGAGGTGCTTACGACCCACTGTTCAGAAAAGAGAGCAAGCAGCATTGATGGCTGAGAGCGCAGTAGGATGCTACTCCTCTCAGGAGGAAGGCCGAGGAGAGACAGACACAGACAGCCCCTCTGGTGGGTGGGCCAGTGGACAGACATTCTTTTTCCTGGTTCTCTGCGTTGTTCTGCAAGTTTCCAGTGGTCTAAAGTGAGCACATGCTGATTTTATGATCGGTTAAAAAAAAAAAAAAAGAAAAAAAACTTTTCAGCAAAGATCTGAAAGATGGAGAAAATCAGTCATGAGGTTGAGAGATGAACTGAGCACGGATCTGAGAAGTGGGCATATTGTTGGGAGTAACGGTCTTTCTCCTAAGACCACAGGGAAGAACCGGGACACAGCAGCTTTCTCAGCCTTGGCACTAGGGACCTTGGGGGCCAAATGATGCTCTGTTTTCTGGTGGGGGTAGGGGGGTTTGCTGTGCATGGCAGGCTGCTTAGCAGCATCTCTGATATCCACCCTCTACGTGCCAGCAATGCCCCTCCCCACCCTTCACCCCCAGTTGTCACAACCAAAAATGTCTCCAGACATTGCCACATGTCCCAGGAGGCACAAATGTCCCCCGATAAAGACCACTGCTCGAGACTTTAGGTTCCTAATAAAGAAACCAGAGTAAATAGAAATGTTCTTCACCTTCTAAGTACAAAGGTTAATGAGTCAATTTCTAACTCTTTGCCACCTGGGGAAAAAAAAAAAGGGAAAGACAAAAAGACAAAAAAATAAGTTTCTGACCCATCAGTGTAATAAATACGCCTGGGAAGGGGTCAGTATCTCCCCATCCTACGCCTATTTCCCGGGGCATCGGCACTTCCCTACCCGGTGGGGAAAGAGTCCCCCCAAACCAAGCACTCTCCCCCTTCGGCCTGGGTGTTCTAAAATAGACCTGATTAATCCAACAGGGGAAAAAAAAAAGAAAGTTTCCCTTTAGGAGAAGCCAAAAATGTGGTTCAAACAAATCCAAGGTCACTGGCTCTTGGGAGTCGGCTACAGCAGATCAAGAGTAGCCCCTCATGCCAAGCTGTATCACTGGGGCGGGGAAGAGAGCTGGAGAGAAAGGGGCTGCCCAGTCTGAGTTCAGACCCACAGGCTGAGGACTTGTGTGCGAGGCCATGTGGCTGGATTGGAAAAATGACCACACGGCAGTGCGAGGGTGGCGGATGGCATTTTCATTGCCAAATTAAGTGCTGACGTGGCCAAAGGAAAAAAGAAAAGGGGAAAAAGAAAGAAAAGGAACTGGCAGCATTCTGCGGTTCTGCATCAACTGCTTCGGATCTGCTGGCAGCGGCAGAGGAAGGGAAGAGAAGAAAACCATCTGTGGTCAACAGAGTTTAAGGACGCTCCCTGTGCACCTGGAGAGAAAGGAGAGAGACCGCGTTCTGGGAAAAAGATTTAGTTGAATGCATACGTGTCACTTCAGAAAGCACTTGGGGTCATTTTCACCCAACTGAAGCAAGTCTGTAAGATACAGTGCTCCTGAGGTTGCCCCACCCAGCGTGTGATCTTGGCTTGACCATCAGAAGGTGCTGGCTCTGCAGCAGGAGGGAAGCAGGCTAGACTTAAGGCAGAACTTGCCAACCACGAGAGCACGGACATGCAGGGGACTCATTCTGATCAGGAATGAAAGGCTGAAGGGACTTCTTACCTCATGCAGGTAAAAGGAAATGCTTTGCTTTTAAAACCATTAGCGTTCATAGCAGCACAATTTATACCAGCCACAACATGGAAACAACTCGAACGATCACCAACCAATGAACGAACAGACAAAATGTGGCGTGGTATTCCCCAGCAACCAAAGGACATGAAGCGCAGACACATGCTACCTCACGGGTGAGCCATGAAAACCTCACATGGAGGGAGGGAAGCCAGGCACGGAGTACCACACGGTCTAGAATTCCATTCACGTGCAATGTCCAGAACAGACAAATCTAGAGGCAGGAAGATGCGCGGGTGCCTAGGACTCGGGGCACCGGGAGAAAATGCACAGGGATTGTTAACAGGCTACGAGGTTTTCTGGAGGGGCGATGAGAATGTTCTGAAGGTGATTCTGATGACGGTTGCACAACACGGAACATACCAAAAATCAGCGGACTGTAACACTTTAAATGGGTGACCCATACGCTATGTGAAGTCTATCTCAATAAAGCACTTACTACAAACCACTAGGACCCCTGCAGCAAACCAGAGCAGAGGAATGAATGAGCCCCCCACCCCCACCCCGGGCAGACGCAGAGGCGACTGAAGGAAGGAGCAGAGGACTGAAGCTTAGAGGCCAGACTTGAGGGCCTGACCCCACCAGCAGCCACTGTGTGTCCTTGGACAAGCTGCTCCCCCTCTGACATTCAGTGGCTTCCCAGTGCATGGAGACCAAAACCCGAACTCCTCACCCTGAAGGCCCATCTCCCACCACTGTCCCTTGCCCACTGTGGTCTGGCCACACCGGCCTCCTTTCATTCCTTCCACAAACTGACCTCACACCAGGCCTGAGGCCTGTGCACCTGCTGTTCCCTGGGTCAGAACACTGTTCCCCAGATCTTCTCCTTGCTGGCTCCTTTCCAGGCCACTGTCACCTCCTCAGAAAGGGCTTCTCCGACCACCCCACCTAGGTGGCCTTGTGCCGCCATCACCCCCCAGCTCATCATCTGCAGTTTCTTCTTTAGAGTGCTTAATGCTCCATGAAACTCCTTCCGGATTCGTTTCTGCCCTTCTCTCCCACCAGATTCTAAACTCCATGAGGGTAGGGATTTATTTAGATGTCGTTCATTTCTGTCTACCTGAAACTATTATGGACTGGGTTGTACTCCTGTCCCAAATTCGTATGTTGAAGTTTGAAGTCCCCAGTCCCTCAGAATGTGATCGTCTTTGGAGACAGGTTACTTGCAGGTGCAATTAGTTAAAAGGAAGTCATCGGGGGGGCCCTAATCCCACATAACTGGTGTCATTAGAAAAAGGGGAAATTCAGGGACAGACACACACGCAGGCAACACTGTGTGAAAACGAAAGCGGATATTGGGGTGATGCTTCTACGGGCCAACAAAAGCGAGAGACTGCTACCAGGCCAGCAGAAGTCAGGGGAGGGGCGTGGAACAGACCCTCCCTCAGAGCCTCAGAAAGAACCCATCCTGCCAACACCCTGGTCTTGGGCTTCCGGCCTCCAGGACTGTGGGACATTTCATTTCTGTTGTGTGAGCCAGTCTGTGCTACGTTGTCACAGCAGTCCTAGGGAAGTAACACAAGCATTTAACACACAGTAAATGCTCAATAATTTCTGCTGAACGACCACACTGATGAACAGTAAATGGCTCTTTCTTAGGGACCAGCGCCGTTCACAGAGACGGGAACCTGGCTGTCCCTGGCAGAGAAGGGACAAGCTTCCCTAAGCCTCAGCTTCCTCACCAGAGAACTGGGAATAACAATTCTACTCCCTGAGTCTTTGGAAGGAGTCAAGGAGGTAACTCCTGCAGAGAACAGGAGCCCCGGTTAGCCCTCAGCAAACACTGGCTATGTCTTAGATTCCCATCACAGATACTTCCAGAATACCTGCACCCCTGCGAATGACCCAAGGGGGCAAGCCCTGCCCCTGTGGACAGTCTGAGACCTGCCTGGGGACGGAGTATGAAAGGAACATGCCCCAGAGGCTCGGGGAGTCTGTCATTAGCTCCAGGAGGCGGGAGATCAGGGCAGGACTGGTGACATCTCTCAGGAACAGCTGAAGGCAAAGTAGAAAAGGTGTCAGATGACTTCTTCCCTCTCTGTGGCGTCAAAGCTCCAAGAAGGGGAGCAGAGGAGCCTGTGAGACTCCAGTCTGACTAATGAAAACACAGGGCACCCTGAAGGTTGCAAACAAATCCCCTGAATTTTAAGCCAACTGAGAAGAGAGAAAAGATTCTTGAAAGTCTCGCCACAGAAGCCTTCACGTAAGGACAGGGTGAGGCCCCAGCTTTCGGAGCCCTGGCCTGGGAGAACACGCCAGGTGCAGTGGCTGGGGAGCAGGCAGGTCTGCAGTGACCTGGCAGGTGCCAAGTGCATGGGGTAAATGGTGGGCACTCCTCCCAGAGGAGTAATGGGAGCAGTTGTTGCGTATGGAACATTCTGTGCTGGGCACTGTGCCCAAGGCTCTATGGAATTGAGCACATTAAATCTCCACCAAACACCAGAAGGTTGTCCTGTTACTATGCTGCTTTATTGGTGAGGAAACTGAGGCTCAGAAGGGCTTGGACGACCCTGGTAAGAGGAGCAGTGGGACTCGAACCCAGGTCTCGCCAACTGCCAGCCTGCATGCTCAGCCACCATGCGTCCCGCCCCCAACCCCAGCATCTGTTCTGGACTACGCCACATATGTCACCACTTTCCACAGCCTCCTGAGAGCCAGGAGGACTATGATGATCACTGTCCCCATTCCTGCCACGAGAACTCTGAAGCTCGGCAGGCCCAAAGCCACCTCATGGCAAAGGATGAAGACCTGGGCCCAGGTCCGCTGCCCCGGCCGTAAAGCACTGGGACCCCCTCTCAAGTCAGCCCTGAGAGCCTTCAGGTGATCTTCCACAGGGTTCCTGAAGGGGCTGGCCCAGCGCTGATGAGGGGCGCCAGACAGGGGCCAGGGGAACCTCCAGGAGGCTGCGGGGCTGGGCCCTACCGTCGTCCGGCTCGGCCCGCTCCTGCTCGGTGCTGGCATACGTGCGCAGGAACTCGGCGAAGGCGCCGTCCCGGGCTAGCAGCTCCTGGTAGGAGCCCATCTCCGAGATCTTGCCGCCGGTCATGACGATGATGACATCCACCTGGGGCAGGTAGCTGATGCTGTGCGTGACCAGGAGCCGCGTCTACGGGCAGAGCGGGGACCGGTGGGTCAGCGCCCGGGCGCGACAGGCATGCCCCGACGCCCCACTGGCCGAGCTTGAGCCTGAGCGCCTGGGGCGCCCCAATCTGGGGGTGCCTTCATTCAACCCGTGCCTGCCAGGAGCTAGGGGGCAGCAGGCAGGGAAACGGGGTCCCCGCCTCACACTCCTCGGTCAGGTGGGGAGAAAGGATGGACAGAAGGACAACAAAGTGCGTGCTGGCTGTTGCACGAAGCAAAGGGGACGGGCTGAGGGTGGGGGATGCAATTCTAACAAGGGTGATGGGGAAGCCGATTTGTGAACAGCAATCTGAAGGGTGAGGGGGAGGCACTGTGGATGAATAAAAGAACGAACCCGATGCAAAACTATTCACATGCAACGGCTTCATTTTTTAAAGTAACTCCCCCCCCCATAAAAAACCACCTCAAAATTTGTACGTGTGTGTATGTTTTATCCAGTTAAGTCAAGGTTGGGAAGGACATTCAGCAAACTGCATGAGGTGACCAGCTTTTCCTTAAAGGACCAAATGGTAAATACATTCGGCTTTCTGGCGCCTCCAGTCGCTATGGCAACGACCAGACTCTGTTGCCACAGCGGGAAGGTGGCCATACACAAGATGGAAAAAGATGATCTGGCTGGGTCCCAGTAAAGCTTTAACGTAGGAGCACCGGCATTTCAATTCAATGCCATTTTCATCGGTCTCAAAATACTATCTTTCTTCAGATTTTCTTCCCAACCACCGAAAAACGTGAAGACCTTTCTTAGCTCAAGGGTAGTCCAAAAACAGGCAGCAAGCCAGACTGCTGACCTCTGCTCTCGAGACGAGAACTAGAGAGTAGGAGAAGGGAGGGCCTTTTTTTTTTTTTCCGCTTTCCACATACTCTTATACCCTTTGATTTGGTTACCACAGGGGGCATGTATCATTCTGGTAACAAAAATTTCTTTAAAAAGTACGTTTATACAGAATTTTTGGATGTGTGTGGGAATGCTTACAACAGGTTAAGTGGCACGGTGCCTACTATATATATATGTGCTGACCCTCTTAAAAAACCTTCTAAGGCTTGAAAGAAAGAAAATCTCTATGAAGCGGGACTGGGCACAACTGCTTATGTGTTTTTCTTTCTTGTATTTTTCTGAATCTCCTGTTTTCCCCATGGGCATGTGTGTTACTTCTTTCTCCAGAAGAAAAAAAAAAAAAAAGAACCAGTGCTCCCTCCCAACCACCCTGTAATTCCCCTAAAAATAATCATCATCTTCAAGAGGGGAAGACCCATTTCCTGTCACATTATGGTGGTAAGGCAGGCTTCCCGCCCCCAATCTCTGTCCCTCAGCCCACGGCCACCTCAGCAGGGAAGGGGGGGCTGCCTGCTCAGTCAGAGGGGATGGGATTTCCCTCTGCAAGGCCACCCCTGTAATTAAATCAGGAAGAGGGGCCTCCGTTGGCCATGTGGAGACAAGGACTGCAAGCCAGTGTCAACGACTTCCCGCTGTAAAGAGCAAGAAGCCTGTCCTGGGAAGGTATCCAAGGGAAGCATTAGAAATGTGTTAAGTCCAATTTAAAAAAAAAAAAAAAACCCTAATTCTGGAAAGTGGGAAGTGAAAGACTCCCCCAGGACACATTCTGACTTAAGCAGAGATGCCAGATGCCACACCCCCGAGCCCTGCCCCTTTAGCAGGTACCTTGCTCCTCAGCATCCCCTTGGGGCCAATGACGTTTTCAAATATGTGTTTGCCCACGTGGGCATCCACCGCCGACAGGGGGTCATCGAAGAGGTAGATGTCGGAGTCACAGTACACAGCCCGGGCCAGGCTCACTCGCTGCTTCTGGCCCCCAGACAGGTTCACGCCCTGGGGAGAAACAGAGCAGAAGAGTGGGTTTCCCGGGGAGCTTTGCGACCTGCAGACAGGGAGCCCCGCTCAGGATGCAGCAGACCCAGGCCGGCGGCCCTGCAGCGCTACACTGCCTCCTCTCGTTGGAGCAGGACGCAAAGGCATGAGATGGTATCTGCGTGAACTGGGTGCGAGGCCCACCATGGGGTCTAGCCTCTGGGAGCTGCTGAGCGGGCACCCAGCACAGAGTGGCGATTCAGCGAAGGCTGGCTGGGGGGAGCAAATGACGGGGGGCCACGAGGAAGGCACCCGCAGATGTGGTAATGATCCTATCCTGGCTGCCGCCCTTAGAGTTGTTAACAGCTGACGTACTTGTGAGCTTGCTCTGATCTATCACTCACTGTGAAGCCACGCAGAGCTGCGGCAGGCTGTACTCTGGGGGTGCTGAAGTCCAGCCCCGCTCACCAGGAGGAAGGGCACTGATTTCTAATTTACACGGGAGCACTCCACGGAGCACACAGCAGCAGGCCCAGCCCTCCGTCTGGCAACAGATGACTGAACATCATTTCCATATGTGGCTGGGGAATCAAAGGGGAACCCCCACCTGTTAACTGCCCAGTCTCTCCCGAGAGATGCCCGCCCTCCCTAGGCACCGAGCTGGGGTCCTGGCAGCCAGGGTTCTTCTGGATGGCCCCTCTGGCCATAGCACTTGGGCCCAGGGGCAGACACCAGACCCAATCATAGTCTCTTGCTCTAGATTTTGGTACTGGGACCTAGACAAGGAGAATCAGGAGTCTCCCAAGGGGCAGAAGCAGACACTTGGGTTAAAACAACAACTAGCCCAGGCTCCTCTGCTAACTGCAAATCCAAAGAGCCCTGTTAACAGTTGTTTTTTCTTTCCAATGAGCTGTAGGTTTCCCTCAAATAAATGGAATTGTTCAGCAACTAAGGAAGCTGGTGGGGCCACCGGCTTGAACTGAAGAGACAGGGAAGCTCCTTGGTGCTGCTGTGGAACAGCTGTACTCCCCAAGCACACACCAGATAACCACCAGGGATGCTGGAACAGGCTGGCCGGGCAGAGGAAAAGCACATGCAAAGGCCCTGAGGTGGGAAGAGGCTCGGGCAAGTCACTTAGCCCCTCTATGCCTCTTCCTCCTCAACCACGAAATGGAAGTAACAGTAAATCCCATCTCATGGCCTTGCTGTAAGGATGGAATGCATATAAAATGTTTATCACAAGGCCTGGCACACAGTTAATGCTGAACAACATGAGCTACTGTATCATTATTTTTACTACTATCCTTGTTTTGAAAGGGACTGTGGCCCTTTGACTCACGGATACCCCTCCCCCTTGTATAGTACCCTGTCATGTGACTCTGAGGTCACGTGACTGCTAAGGTAGCATGCACTTCCTGGTCCCTTATCTTTCAGTTCAATCAAGTGAAACTGACAATATGCTTTACGGGACATCACCTGGGGGGTTTGGGGGGTTTTGTTCTTGTTCTCTTGGGCTTCTGCTGTCACCACGAGAAGAGCTTCCCCCTGCAGAGCTCTTGTCCCTTCAGCAGGAAGGTGTGTGGGGCAGACCCTAGCCAACCCTATAGCCTGGAACAGAGCTCGGCAGGTCTGCACTGTGGAGCAGGGCTGCCCAGCTGAGCCCAGTGTGGGTCAGCCACCCTCGGTCAACTCACACACCCACAAATGTGAGATTAAGTGTTTAACATCCGGCCCCAGAATTCTGTGGCTGATACAGCGGCCAAGCTGCAGCCGTACTGACCTTCTCACCAATCTCTGTCCGGTCCCCGCTGGGCAGGATTTCCAGATCTGGGAGGAGGGCACAGGCTTCGATGACGGTCTTATAATACCGTTCCTGTAGCTGGCGGCCGAAAAGGATGTTTTCTCGGAGGGAATCATTCTGAATCCAGGCCTGCTGGGGAACGTAGGCCACTGAGCCCTGGGAGGCGTGTACAGGAAGGCAGCAAGACAGAGAGCCTTGGTTAACAAGACGCCAGCCAGCCAGCCAGCCCACCTACCAGGAGGGCCCTACTTCCCAGGATACTTTCATCACACACATTGTTTCAGCAGGGGGGAAACTGAGTCACGACAGTCTTGGATGCCAGAGCTGGGATCAGACCCCACGCTAGGTCAGTCAGGGACTCTAATATCAGGAATTCAAGAGTGGAAATCCACATTGGTGAGATTATAGCTTTGCGTTTACTAAGTATTCACTGAATGCCTCTAGCAGCAAACAAAACTCCAGCTTCTCAAGAATAAGAAGTCCCTGACATGATTTTTAAAAGAATTATTTCATTACAGTTATGCTAAATGCTAAGAGGGAAAAATATATGAGTCCTTCAAGAAGTCCTTTAAAGAGGGAGACCTAGTTTGGGTCATCGGGGAAGGATTCCTTGGGGACATTCCCTTGATGAAATGTAAGCAAGGACTTCAGTATCCAAATCATCCGGTTCAAGTTTAGTGTTCATTTCCATGTGATAAAGTGCCAAGAATGTGACGAGAATAAGGGCTAGGGTGAGGGCATTTGTTTCATGTATTTTAGTAAGAAAGTTTTAAACAAGGATGGACAGGTGAGGATACGCTGGTGTGACAAACAGGAGGTGGAAGCACATTCCAGTCAGAGGGAACAGCATGGGCAAAGGTCCAGAGGCGAGAAGAACCTGGCGCATCCAAGGAACAGGAAGGCAAGTATGACTGGAACATCGTGTGGAGGGGAAGACGGGGAGGAATGAGCAGGAGAGCAGGGGCCAGCTCACACCAGGCTAGGGGTCCTGGTGAGGAGTGTGGGCTTTACTGGAAGGGCAAGAGTGAAGATTCTTACCTGAGGGAATTCTAGGGGGACAAGGTTGGGAGTGGGACCCAGGTGTCCCCCATCTTAATCTCCACTCTCAGATAAATAAGTGAACTTCTGACTCTAATACCCTAACTTACAAAAGGCCAAAAGGTCACAAAGCCTCACCACAGAGCCCAGAGAGAATTCAGGCATGGTGTGCACAAGCCCCACCAAATAAAAACATTTGGAAAAAATTAATACTTTAAGCACATTTCTAGCATGCTCCTTTGCAGGGCAAAACCACCAGTTAGAAATCTGTCAACCCATCAACCAAATACTCAGTGCACCCTCCCTCCACTTCTAGATCCATCGTTTTTGAATTTAAAGGCTTTTGACTTTAAAACAGCAGTTCTCAACTGGGGGCAATTCTGCTCTCCAGGGGACATCTGACAATGTCTAGACACTCTTGGTTGTCACAACTGGAGGTTGTTACCAGCATCTAGTGTATAGAGGCCAGGAATGCTACTTAACATCCTACAAAGCACAGCATAGCCCCCCACAGCAGAAAATCATCCAGCCTGAAAGGTCAATAGTGCTGCGGGGGTGGAAACTCATAAGGTGGATGGTTTGGAGGTTTTTTTCCCATCAAGCGAGGTCTCACTGTTCATTAATCTTACTTTAGTAACATGTACTTGAAAGCAGTAATGGGACATATCTTAAAATAACAGCTAAATGTCATTAGTTTAAATCCAACAATAATAACATGTACTTCTCTACTAATGCATACCCACTAAAGGGCCTCATACAAACAAAGGATTTTGCTCTAAAAAACAGTTGCATAAACCAGCATTCCCAAGAGAAGATTCCGGGAGACATTACTTCTGGGGAGGCAAATAGTTGTTGAACAGATACTGAAGAGTTCAGGCAAATACGTCTGGGACACACTGGGTTAACCGAAGTTAAATAAGTTTTCTTCTCCTCGCACGACTTCTCAGAGCCTTTACTTTACTGATGTTTATTTTAAGTCTCCGAGAGAGAGGGCATCTGAGTTTGCAGTATCTCCCAAACTTGTTGGAGCCCAGAACTCTCTATTCCCCAAACAACTGCAAGATGAGTTTGCTGTCGACCACGCTCCAGGATACGCTGTGTTAACAAAACTTCGAGGCAAGCTTTCTACACCAGGGAACTCCTTCATGCGGAATAAGCTAAATGCAAAAACGAGGCTCTTGATTTCCAATGAGACTCATCTATTCACTAAAGCAGCCTTTTAAATTCTCTCCTGAGGAACAGTCCAACTTAGTTCAAAGTACTCTGTATATTTAAAAACCAATAAGAACTGCAGTCCTTCTTTTGATCCCACATTAAGAATCCAAGGAATGCTCAAGATTTAAAAAGTTCTCTTTAAAAAGAATTCTCTAAGAAAATATCCCAAAGACACAAAAAACTTTAGGTTTTGCTACATTTATAAAACAGACATACACGGAGAGATCCATGTACAGAAAGAACAAGCCAAAAAGACTGGCACTTTAAGAGAGACCAGGAGATGCACAGAGAGGGCCATAGATGGGGAGAGAACGAGAGACCGCGAGTGGACCAGGGAGCATCCATGTGTTTACTCAGTATTTACTGAGCGCCTACTACTTGCTGGGCACTATTCGCGGTGCTGGGATACAGCAGGAAATTAGGGTCATCAGCTCTTGCCTTCCAGGGGGCCCAGAGAAGAGCAGAGAGAATGGGAGAGGAGGAGGGAGTTGCTCGCTCCTCTCACTTTCTGCACAGGGGCCATCTCGAAACAAAACACAGCATCGCGCTCGCCCCCCACCGAGGCCGACAGCACCCCGGCAGCCCCCCACCCGCCCGGTCCTCGTCCTACCTTGATAGCCACGTGCCCCTCCACCTTGTCCATCTCGGCCAGGAGTGCTGAGAGCAGAGACGACTTTCCACAGCCCACCTGGCCCACCACGGCCACCAAGGAACCTTCCGGAATGGAGAACGTGATGCTGAAATGACACAAGGGCTCTGCCTCAGCCACGCCCTCACCTGAACAGGTGGCGGCCCACCGCAGCTGGATGTCCCCCGAGTGGAGAGGGGCGGAAGGCAGGGCTGTTACGAGCCCTGAAGGTCTGGAAATTATTCCTGCCGTTTCCCCCGCTAAGCTGAGCTCAGTGGCCGGTGTCAATGGGCTGAGGTGTGTGAGGCCCCAGGTAGGTGCTGGGATGCACCTGACACATCTGTGTCTCAGAGAAACCGAGACAGCGGGAGAACCCTGGGGGGGGTGGGGGGGCGAGGTGAGGTCACCGTGTGGGAGCCGGACAGTGGAGTATTAACAAAGCAGGTGCCCTGAGGGACAGACACCTCAACGTGAACTCTGAGGGAAAAGGAAGGACGAGGCAGGGAGGCGTAAGGCCGGTCCCGAAGAGGTGGCAGGTAGCGGCCACACCCGAAGAGGCCAAAGCTGGCGGTGCCAAGACACACCTCGCGGATGGGAGCCTCGGGGTCTGGAGGGGGGCCTGACGTGGGTGACTGAGTCTGCGAAACAGGTCTCACAGATGGCGGTGCACCAAGTACAATAAGCTCAATGCTCAGCCGGCGAGACTGCCCGTCTCAGGACGGGGGGCCGTCGCGTGCTGCCAAGTCGGGGCTGATTCCGCGCAGCCAGGGAGGGGCAGGCACCCGAGCCCAGGGCCTTGCTGGGATCACTTCCTTGGCTGTGCTTTTCAGCGGATGCGATCATGACTCAGCCTATTAGTGGAAATGCTGTTAGAGTTTGTCGTCACTGTTTAGTGCTTGTGAAGCTGCTGCATGGTCCCTCGATTACGCTTTCGTTCCTGCGCTGAGGGGGGGAACAGACGATGGGGCCATAACAACACGAAGCCCAGTGAGGCAGCTCCTGTGACTGTCCAGGTGGGAATGGAATATTGTTACAGGCTGAGGAAAGGTTTGGATTGGGAAAGGTTTTGGGAGTTCAAGAGCAGGAGTGGGGGCGTGGGTGACTAGAACGAGAAGGCAAGAGAGACAGAAACAAGAGAGAAAAGCTAAAACTGAAGCAGGCAGGAGCTGAGTGAGACGTAAGAAAGAACTTCCCAAGCATGCAGTCCCACCGGGGGTTTTCAAGGGAGGGGTTACAAAGATTCTTTTCTCTAGAGAGTTTGTCCCCCCACCCCCACTTCCTGAGTTAATACACAGCAATAAGTGGCCACCCAATGAGGGGATAATTGTTAAGGGGCTTGGGGGATAAATGTGGTCCCTGCAAAGGTCCCTCTGGCCCCGTGTTTTGAGGACTCCTCTGGGGAAGCCTCACAGAGCCACCAAACAAGGCCTCCCCAGTTCAGAAAGGAGTAAGAGGCACTTGACCAGTGACCTGGGGAACCAGGTCAACTCCCCGGACACTGTGTGCTTTGGGAAAATAAGGGCTGGGTGGAGAGGGTCCCAGTCGGGGAGATGGCAAGAAAGGGTGACTCAGGCAGCTGGGGACCTTGGAAGGGATGGAGAAGAGCGATTCCATCCCGACAGCAAATCCCCGCTGACAAGAATTCCTTTCAGCTGACCCAGGCCTGTCTGCCACCACCTGCAGCATCACTGCCTCAGACCCAACCTGGCCAATCCGTGTGCTCTGTCTCTCCTGGCACATGATCGGCTCAGGGAGGGGCACATGACCCAATCTGAACCAGTAAGAGGCAGGTGGGTCTCCAGCCCAGGTAAGAGGTACACTCCCGGCTGATGGAGGCTATTTGCCATCATGAAGGGAGAGGCAGCTTGAGAAGGAAGCAGCACAGAGGGAAACTGAAGAAAGACAAGATGGAGAGGATCCTGATGGCACTGAGTCCCTGGATCACGCTGCACCTGAGTGGATCTCAGTGATGCAACCCCAAAATTTCCGTTTGTTGTCTAAGCCCACCTGGGCAGTGTTTCTGTCATTTACAATCCAAGGGAACCCTCTGTGCCAGCCAACTCTCACCTGCTCCTTCCTGCAGCCCAAGCAGGTATGACTGGACTTATTTCCCAGATGGGTAAACTGAGGCTCAGAAAGGCAAAGTGGCCTATTCAGTGTCACTGAGCTACAGTGTGGCTGGCATTCACACCCACATTTGACCAGCGCCTCATGGCTCTCTCCACATGCAGGCTTACCCACTTAGCGTCGGAGGGTCGCTCCTGGCCCACGTGAACGTGGCGTTCTTCACAGTGATGCTGTTTGCGCCCCCGCCTGAAAAGCACCAGCAACAACATGTCAGGCAAAGACGGAAGTCCCGAGATTGAGCATCAGCAGGCTCTCACTTTTTTTTTTTTTTCTAATGTTTCTTAGTTCAATGCCAGATGCTAGACACTTGCACCAGGGCATTATCTTGTCATATCACTCCTCGTTTCTAAAGAACCCCAACCAGACCCACAAAGCAGACAGAAACCACAACAGGGTTCTGCCCTGAATGCCAGGAGGTCGCGCTATCCAGATGCCCATCTGGCAGAGGTGGGGGGAACCCCTTGGGGTTTACTCAAGGCTCCAGGGTCTCCCTCACCTCATCTTGGGAGGATCGGGCAGCTCCGGCTGGGGGACTGAGCAGAAGCCAAGGTCAACGGGGAACAAGCAGTTCTCTGCATCAGGCCGGCCCTTGGCAGTTGGCCCTCACCACACCCTCAGCCCTCCCTTTATGTTCAAGGTGGGGTCCTAGGTCAAAGCACCTGGATCGTAGGGCTGTCTCCTAACGCCTCTCTCTGCATCCCCTCTCCCGCCCTGCTCACATCACAGCAGGTCAATCCTTCTGAAAAACCAGTCACACACACTGTGAAAAAGCAGGCTGTGCAACAGGATGTGGGGCATCACGGGGAGGGAAGAACAGTAAGACAAAGCTGGCTTTCTACGTCCAACAGCGGCGCCCGATTCTAAGCTCCCGGCCCCGCTGTCTTCATTTACTTTCCCTCCCCTTCCTGTCCTTTGACGTCATGTCCCTCACTTAAAAAAAACGTTCTGACTCTTCATTATTAGCCTCCTTAAAACCACCTAGAGATAAGACGGGCGTGTTTTTAAGCTCTCAAAGAAAGACAGAAATTCCCCTGCACACCAAAGAAACAAAAACCTGTAGCAAGAGGCAGTTACTGGTTAACCTGACCTTCCCTCCTTCACCCGGGCCCCGTCCCCCGCCCCCTTGGGACACAGAATAAGGAGAAAATGGGAAGGTGCTACTTAAGGAAAGCCACTTGGGTCAGACAAGCTAGAAAACCACAAGATGTGGCTGGGAGCTGCCAAGGTGGCCCCATCTGACACCCATGGAGTGTGGATAAACATCTCAAAAAGTCAACCAGCCTAGGAAGGGGGTGCTGAGGCCTGGACCGCAGCAGAAGGCCTGAGGGTTTTCCAATAGGACACCTGGCAGGGAGCTGGGAACAGCTGCAGGAACCTGAAACCTCCATGGGCTGCCCCAAATGTCAGTCCTGTGTTATGCAAAGAAATGTGACCCAGGAGGAAACGGCACCAGACCATCTACAGGGTAGTGGGGGAGACTAGGTCCTCGGGATGGCACAAACCGATGATCAAAGGCCAGGGAGGTTGGGAAGAAGATTCCGGCAACCCGTGAGTAGGGGTTCTCAACTGGGGGCAACTTTGTCCCCCCTGCCAAAGGGACATCATGTTTGGAGACAGTTTTGGTTTTTCAAAATCAGGGTGGGTACTACCGGGATCTAGGGGGCCGAGGCCATGCATGCTGCTCAGCATCCTCTAATGCTTGGGATGGTCCCCCGGGCAAAGAACGCTCGGGTCTCCAGTGTCAGCAATGCCAAGGCTGAGGAACTGTCCCTCGAGGGTTGAGCTGACAACGTCCCAGACCCCTTCTCTCTCACACCAGGGAAGCCACAGCCACCACATCTGGGGGGCAGGCACTGAGCCCAGTGTTGGACACACCACCGGGGAGATCTGAAAGCCCACTAGGTACCAGGCACTGCTCAGACCTTTTAACCAGTGCATACACACATTCGCTCCTCTGACCGTATCTACTGGGCTCTCCAAGCCCCGTGCGGCCACTGCCTAGCCAAACAGCCTTGGGCAAGTTACTTAACTTCCCTGGGCCTCACTGTCCCCGTCGGTAAAGCAGGACTGATAAGAATGAGATGAACCCCATACACTGTGGGGCTAGACGCATAGTAGGTGCTCAGTAAATCTCCAGAGGGCAACACTGTACAGTGGGTAGGAGCAGAGCCCAGTAACTGGCTGTGGGTGTGAATCCTGCCTCCGCTTCTTATTAGTTGTGCGATCTCAGGCAAGTGACTTAGGCCGGTTTCCCCATCTGTAAAGCAGGGGGTTTCCACAGCCCCTCTGTGCACTATGCTGAGCACGGACGTCCTTAAAACACAACACGCATGATGGGAGTGTCATTTAAGTGAAAAGTAGTCACTGCCGGTCATGCATTAATATTTACTATCAAGTGCTTGGAGACATAATCGGGAATAAGATCCCCACTCAGGGAGGTTGACTGGGAAAGGACAAATTAATAAGCTACAAAAGAAAGAAGGCTACCAATAAAAATCCACATAACACCCTGACAAAGAAAGGCACCTTCATTCCCATTACCCAGATAGGGAAACTGAGGCTCAGAGCAGGCAAGTGACCCGCCCAAGCACACAGAGCTGCTGGGTTGGAGCTGGTCAGTCTCCAACGCCCTTGTTGTGCCTGCCCATCTGCCCAGAACAGAGTCAAGATCTGAGCCCTGGAACGGGCCCCTTGGTGGGAGGCCTCACCCGCCGGCTGCCTCTCAGCGGGAAAGCACCAAGAAAACAGAAGTTGAAGTTCACCGGCCTGGGATGTGCAAGATAAGGCCCGATGCCCCCCACCCCCGGCGCTGCAGGGCTCCTGTTCCCTGGGGCCTCAAAGCCAAACCCAAGGGGAACCTTCATGGCACAGAGGGACCCGACGCACACACCGTCTTTGATGGGCCTTCGCTCGATGCTGTCAGGCTCCAGCTCCTCGTGAGACAAAAAGATCCTGAGGCGTTTGAGGGAGACACTCGCCTACACAGAAAGCAATCGCAAGGTGCAGTTATTATTAAAAGTATTTTTGCAAAAAAACAGACCGAGGCTAACTTTCGGTGGTTTCCCCTGGGTGTCGAGGAGCCCACATCCTCCCTCATCTCTGGCGGGTCTGCGTTTCCTACAAGAGTGTGCCTCAGAAGGAGAACCAGAACAGGTTTTGGTTCTTGTTTGTTCTCCTTTCAAAGCCCACCACAGGTATTAAAAAAGAGAGTGGGGGATTCTCCTAGATGACAAGGGACTTCAGAAACAATAACCAAACGTAGCGGCCCCATGTAAGGGTACAAGCTAGCAACCAGGGGAGAAAGAAGTCCTGGAGATCTACTGCAGGATGATTACGATCAACACACTGCGAGCTGGCTAAGAGATAGCATCTTCATGGTTCCCAACAGAAAAAGGAAACAAAAATCACGTGATGTGAGAGGCATTAGCTGACACTCCTGTGGTCATTCTTTGGCCACACACGTTGGATACCTTAAATTTACACAATGTTATATATCGATTCTATCTCATAAATGTAAACTGAGAAAAAAAAAAAAACCCACAAAACAACAGCGAAGAAATGCACGCTGAAGTATTTATGGGTGAAATGTCAAGAGGTCTGGGATTTGCTTTAAAGTTCTCCAGGGGCGCCTGGCTGGCTCCACTGGTGGCGCATGTGACTCTTGATCTTGGGGTGATGAGTTTGAGCCCTAAGCTGCATGGGGAGAGTACTTAAAAACAAAAAAAGAAACCTTAAAAAAAAAAAAAAGGAGGGAAGGAAGGAAGGAAAAAATTCTTCAGCAAGGAAAGAAGAAAGGAAGCGGGGGAGGGGAAGACAGAAAAAGGATTCGATGAGCCAAGTGCGGCAAAACGTCGAATCTGGGTGAACACTACATGGAGTTCGCTGTTACACTGTTTGTTCTCTCCCTACGTCTGTGTACGTTTGAACTTTTTCATAACAAAAAGGAATTTTATTTGCTTATTTATTTTTTTAATGAAAGCATACACACAGAGTTGTACAACCAAATCTTAAGGTTCATTTGTCTGTGTGGCTGAAAATCAGGTTCTCAGTATGAATGCGTTCAAACGCTGGGGAGAAAAATATGAGAAAATACCACCGGTTGGAAAGTGTAGGAGCTTCACATAGAGTGAAAGTGTGACCGAGTGGCTAGTTTCCTCACCTTACAGGGTCACTGCTGTGGACTTCAGGATTTCCGGGGGGGCTAGGTTGGGGTTTTTCCAATAATGGGGTGAGGCCTATCAGTGGGTTGTGAAGTCAGCTGAGTAAGTCAAGAGATGCAGTGTTGAAAAAGCAGAGTGAGCTAGAGCAGGGTGGAGCAGACTGCATCAGAACCGGACGGGACGAACATTTCAGAACCTTAGGAGCTCAGGAAAGCCTGCTTGCATGCAGTCTTTGTTCTGTACGTTCAAGTGTGAGTTCCTTGTCAAGAAGTCACACGTATTCCTTTCTTTGGGGCATGACCAAATTAGCAAGAAAGCCACCAATGTGAGCCTCGTCCAGCCAACTGGGCACAGTGGGACGGGTAATGCAGAGCAAGCTGTATGGAGGGGGACCTGTGTGCCCTTTTACTTCCTGTCTGCAGAGGACCCCTCCCTCAGGTCGCTCCAGCCCCGCCTGTACCTGCACGATGCTGCTGATGACCATGGGGAGAATATTCAGGGGAAATCGGAGGATGTTGAACAAGGCCAAGGACACGAAAGCTTTCTGGGCATCCAGGATGTTGTTCTTGTCGATGGTCACGTAGACAGCAAAGGTAGACAGGGCCACCTGTAAGCAGAGCGTCCAGCACTGACTTGTGGCCCTGCATCAGACACAACCGTAGGAGCAGCCGCATGCCCCCCGCCAAGCCTCCAGTGTGTTCGAACCTGCCCCACAACAGGCAGCTGGAGGCAGCGGGAAACGCCTAAGGCAGCGTCCAGCACATAGCAGACACTCACTAAACACCCAAAGAACGAACCAGATAAATGAGCCACCGGGAGTCGCTGGCCTCTGCACCAACATTCTCCAAGGTTGGTGCAGACACTGGACAGACATTCTGGGGATCCCTCAACACCACCCAGCGTAATCCCACCTCTGGGCCTTTGCCCCTGCCTGAAACAACCTTCCCATCTGGACGGTGGCCTGGTTCCTCCCTCTAACCCTTCGGAGTGGCTGCCCTACGTCTCCACTCCAAACAACCCTGCTCTTGCTCTCTCTCCTTTTATCCTGGCTTATTTCTCTTCATAGCAACTAACATGGCCTTTTACCGCCGTACTGTACATATAGACTGTCTGTGTCCTGCACTACAACGGAAGCTCCGCAAAGGCAGGGACTTGGTTTTGTACACAGCGGTATCCTCAGGGCCTTGAACAATCCCTGGCACACAGGAACACCTTGGGCAAGTTACCTCCTCTCCCCATGCCTCACATGTCTCATCCATGAAATAGGGGTGGAACTGGATGGTTAATGGCACTATTTAAAATTCCTTCCAGCTCACGGAATATATGATTTTATACCCCCAGGAAAGGAACATTAAAAGAAAAAAAGAAACGGCAAGCAAAAACTAACAGGCAAAGGTACTGCCTTCCTCACCAAATCAGACTTGCATTAAGCCCTGCGGTGGTTCCTGGGACTTAACTACGCAGGCTCCCAGCCGACCGGAATTTGGGTTCAGATGTTTGAGAGAGCAGCTCCTCTCCTCCCTTGCCAGGAGAAATGGGAAGACACTCTCAATAATCCAGGGTTGGACTGCTCAGCTTGGGAGGGAGGCAGGAGAGTAACAGGCGGATTCCCGTGCCTCTCCTATATTGCTAGGGACAGCAGGTACCAGGTGTCGCCAGGCGAGGCTAACAACACGCGTCCCGCAAGATCACCCAGAACATGCTATCAGAAGCAATCTGGACAACCCTGGACCCCGACAGACGCACACAAGTCCCCGCCCCCCCCCCATTAGCCCCAGGATCCCAGAGTCATTAAAGGCTTTCCCTGCAGGGGAAAAAAAAAAAAAAAATCAAAACAAAACTGCCCAGGTCCTGCCTTTCTGAGCTCAGAGCAGCATGTCCGGAAGTCAGGATATTGGTGTCTGAGCCCTGCCTTCGGTGTGGCTGTGGCCCAGTGCATTTGCAGGGTCAGAGTCACCTCATTTCCTTGTTACCTACTGGAAGGTAACATAGCTTAAAAATTAAAACCAACAGCTCTGTCGTGTGTCAGCTCTATGACCCTGGGCACGTCACCTCCCCTCTCCAAGCAAGCCTCTGCTTTCCTATCTACAAAATGCGAATCAGGATATACCTTCACAAGGCTGTTGGCATCAAGAAATCAGGCACTCATGCAAAGTGCTTAGCACACTGCCCGGAGCATAGCAAAATGCAATATATAGCAGCTGTCTTTATTTCTGGCTACAGGACTCAGTCCAAACTCCTTGGTCCATTCTTCCAAAGAATCTATTAACTGGGTCCCAAGACCAAGGCGCTGTGGAGTAGAGCTGGTTCCTTTCTGGTTCTGACATTAACAAGCTGGATGACGCACCAGCCTCTCATCTAAAGATGTTCTCTCTTTTTTTTTAAAGATTTTATTTATTTTTCGACAGAGAGAGAGACAGTGAGAGGGGGAACACAAGCAGGGGGAGCGGGAGAGGGAGAAGCAGGCTTCCCGCCGAGCAGGGAGCCCGATGCGGCGCTCGATCCCAGGACCCTGAGATCAAGACCTGAGCTGAAGGCAGACGCATAACGACTGAGCCGCCCAGGCGCCCTCATCTAAAAATGTTCTTACTCAGAACACCCCAAATACATCCACACAAAGGAACAGTATTCAGCCATAGAAAGGAGTGCAGCACGGACACCTGCTATGACACGGATGACCCTTGAAAACATGATGCTCAGTGAGAGAGAAGCCAGAACACACAAAAAAACCATGTATTGCGTGAGTCCGATTGATATGATACATTCAGAACAGGCCAAGCCACAGGGACAGAAAGCAGATGTGTGTGTGCCCAGGCTGGGGGAATGGGGAGTGACCATCAAGGACCAGAAGGCTTCCTTTTGGGATGATGGGAATGTTCTGAAATTATCTAGATAGTGTTGATGGTTGCAGAACCTTGTGAATATATTAAACACCACTGGGTTATACACCTTAAAATGATAAATTATAGCTTGGTAAAGAGTAAGAACAAAAAAAGCCACCTCTCTAAAGTCAGTCCATTTCACGTCGTACAGAAACCAAAGTCTTGACCCTAGGCCCAGGGCCTACCTGGTTTGTAAAATCCCTTCCCTGTAACTTGCCTGACCTCCTCTCCTACCATTCTCCCCCCAGCTCCTTCTATTCCAGCCCCACCGGCCTCCATAGTTATTCCCTCTATGAGGCGGGCACTGTCCTGCCACAGGGTCTTTGCACATACTCCTCCCACTCCCTGGTGGAAGCCCGCCCCTCCACTGGGCCTTTACTCAAGTGTCACCTCCTCAGTAAGGCCTTCAACCACCCTATTTAAAACTGCAAGCCCTCCCTATCACCGTGGCCTGAATCTTTTTCTTTTCCCTAGCACTTACGACCGTTTAGTATGCTATATGGCGTATTTATTATGTCTACTGTGGATCACCTGTCTCTCCCGATTAGAATGAATGACCACTCCATCATGAGGCCACTGGACCGTGGCCAGATACTCAGTAAATGTTTGTGGATGGATGGACAGATGGACAGATGAACAGATGGGTAGGTAGGGCTGGATGTGCCTGGGGGCAGAAGAGCATACACTCAGAGGTGTCTCCTCAGCAGTGGGGAAAACCAGGCCTCAGGCAACTCGCCACCAGAACACACCAGGCCCCCGAGCGCCATCATCGGGAAGGCGGCTGGCAACACAAAGCATGTGGCCCATCAGTTCCACAGCCCTGGCTTCTCCAGGAAGTGCAGGCCATTCTTCATCAAAGGTTAACTGAGCACCTACTGTGTACCAGTACCATGCGCTGAGCAGTAAGGCAGGCTTGGCGTTCCCGAGACTCACGGTCTAGGGGAAACAGGTACTGAGTGAGTTCTCTTCAACAGGGGGTATTTGGACGTGGGTGGAGGTGAGTGAGGTCAGCCAAAAGACTGGGGCTATAGGCAAATGTGGGGCTGGGGTTCGCCACAGCCTCATGATGGGTGAGAGTCAAGGATGTGACGAGTTTTTGCAAACAATGAAGAACAAGTGTCCCACCCCAAGAGCTAAGAGCGCCTCCATGGTGAGAAATGCAGCAAAGAAATGAACCATCTACTCCAGCCCAACTCCTAAAAACCCTGATGTCTCTTTGTGTGGACATCTGTTTGTTCAGTCTGCTCAACATCCATTCCTGTTTCTGGTAACAATATTCCAATTTTCTTTTGGGTGACAGAACCCTTCCCAATCTCAGCCTATGAGCCTCAGCCATAGATGAATTGCTTATGCCCCACCCCAAGCTCCCACAGAAGCCACACAACCCTTGTCAATCCAAGCATCCCATCTCCTTGGCCCCAGTGATTCAGGGATAAGCATGTGGCCAACAGCAATGCCACAGTGAGATCCAATCCCACAGCTTTGTAGAGACTAATGGGAAAATGGACTAATGGGCCCTCTCCCCAGATGACAGAATGAACTGTAATTATATGGTGAGCAGCTCCCTGACAAAAGAAAACACCATAGAGAATGCAGAGCTGAGAGACCGGGGCGGGGGGGTCATTCCCTCTGGAACACCTGGATCCAGCCATGCCTGAAATCCCAGTCATGCTCAAAACCAGCAATTTCCTACTTTTCAGTTTTCTGACTCAAAAATCCCACTTTCTTTTTTTTAATCTAGTCAATTTGAGTGAGGTTTCTGCCAACTGCAACACAGTTCCTGATTAACACAGTTTATTCAAATCTTTTACTCATTCAGTTAGTCCCCTAGATTAAATTTACTGAATGTGCACCATTTACCAAGTGCCCTGTTCTAGGAATACAAGCCAAAAAAAAAAAAAAAAAAAAAAAGGTCCACATATGATCTGATCAGCAGAGAAGTACCCAATGGATATTTACCATATGGAATGATAATTACCCTAACAAAGGGAGATAAGGGTAAGTAGAAGACGAAAAGCTCGCAAATCTTCCAAGACTCAAAATGCTAAATATTGACGGCTGCCTGGGGATACTATTTTAGGGAAGTGCATTAAGTGTACATGATAGATGCCAGGCTCTGTATTTCAGAAAAACAATCCCATCAATCCCACCAAAATGGCATCCCCACTCTCGTCTGACCTCCCCAGGCCTCTGTCTTCCATCACACCTACCGGTGGGTAAACACCTCATCATCCTTGAAGCGCAGGAATTCGCCAGTGGAAAGAACATGCAAACACCTTTCAAGGGAATCAAAGGCTACATATTTTATCCTAATGTAGTCAGAGGCTTCGGTGTCTCGGCCAGGGCCAAGGTCCCCAAGTGACATCCAGGCTCATCTGTTTCATGCCAAACAGCTTAACAAACTCCATCTCTGGAAGCCCGTTGACCCTGCCCTCCCCTCCCCCCATATTGAGTGGCAAATTCAAGGTCAAGGAAAGCCTGTCACGCTCTTAAGCATCTCTTGCCCTGGCCTCCTAATGGAGACCAGGGCAGGAGATGTTAACTGAAGGGCCAGCACATTCAGGTGACAAGCTAGAAACTGGACACTCAGTCAGAGGACCCAATGTGCAGAGCCAGGGGTTATGGGAAAAGGTCCCCCCACTCCAAGTGTAATACAACCCAAGTATTAAACCCTGTCACTTTCTCCCTCTGGCTGCAGAGCTCTTCCTATTAAAAAAAAATGCAATTCCAAAATGCTTCGGACTTCTGTATGACTTGCCATCATGTGCGTCAAAGTAAATAAAACAGATACGTAAGTTTAGTTACATTGATGATGGTCACTGTTATGCTGCTGAATGTGCAGGCTTTCCCTGGAAATACGCAGAAGAAATGGGTAGAGAGAGAGAAGGTGGGTGACAAAAGTCTGAGGACGAAGACAGACCTGCGGTTCTCAACTGGAGGGACACCTGGTAATGTATGGAGACACTTCTGACTGTCCCACCTGGGGAGGCGTGGGGGGCGGGGGAGAGGTGGCACTTGGCCTCTGCTGGGTTGAGTCCAGAGAGTCTGCTGAACACCCTACAATGCACAGGACAGCAACCCCACCAACAAAGAAACAAAGAATTATCGGGTCCCAAATGGCAACAGTGCCAAGGTAGAGAAACCCCGTCCTAGACCCTTTGGTATAGCTTTAACTAGTTTTACCACGGGAATGCATCATTATTTTTAAAATAAAATGTATCACACATACAAAGGAGAATAGTTAACAGTTCTAAACACACTGAGACTATTTAACAGTTTAGAGGAAAATAATCAAATGAACACTCTACATAACTACCATCCAGTCTTCTGATACTTTTTACTTCTAAAAATCAAAGAAAGCCATCAGAGATCTGGGGAAAGTTGGGGAGACCAGAGTGTTCTCAGAGAACGAGCTGGCGGAACCTTCTAGCCCCGAACACTGGAGTATGTGAGCCGGAAAGAATCTAAGAGAACTCAGAGTCCCAGACCTGCTAAAAGATGTCACTTCATGTACCAGCTCCAGTCAGCTGACAGGCGTCACCGGGAGGGTGGCTTGAACAGAACTCAGTGGCAGAGAACCCCACGGCAGGTTGTGGGTGTCTAGTGCAGGCACGGGAGTGGGGCCCAGGCAGGGGCCTATATGACACGCCCGTGGCCCAACCCTTCCATGTTCCATACACGAGAACCCAGAGGCAGGAAGGTGGACTGACCGGCCTCAGGTCACTCTGTGAGCTGGCAGCCAAGTTCAGCAGGCACCCCACCTCTAAGCCAGGGGTCCACACCTGGTTATGTCCGGCCCGTAGGCTTAGAATACTTTTACATAAGTAGGTATTTTTTTAAAAAATCAGTATTTTATGACACAGGAAGCTTATATGAAATTCAAATTTCAGTATCTATAGAGAAATTTTTACAGGAATGGAGCCACACCGATTCATGTGTGTATTAGGTTCGGCCACACTGGCAGGAACTAGAAGATGCAAAACAGAGCGTATGGCCCAGAACGTCTACAATGTTCACTAGTTGGTCCTTGGGAGACAAAGTTCGCTCACTTCTGCTTTTTGCCAGTGTTTCTCAAACACTTTAGAGGAAAGGGACAGACGTAAGGGAAGACAATATACTTTTCATTTGATGACTTTCTATATGGTTTCAATTTTTTTTTTTTTTTTTTTTTACAACAAATGACAAGTATTTGTTGAGCACCTACTATGCACTGTTTTAGGCACTGAGGGTATGGCAGTGAACAGAGAAGACAAAATCCCTGCCTTCCTGGAGATGCCTTTCTAGTGGAAACAGACAGACAGACAGAAAATACATTTCAGAGTGTGTTTGGCACTGGCCAAATCCCTGGCTTGTGACCGGTCGGCAGCAGATCAGAAGCTGACACCGTAATGTCACTCAACTATGGCACCAAGAGCAGAGTTTAGTTCTGCTGGCGTGCTTTTCTTACCAAGACTTTCTCCATGAAGGAAGCAGAGGGACCTGCTTGACCTTCTGGAACAAATTTCTTATCTCATTGTGAACCTATAAACAAGCAGTTCCTGGAACTGGTTACTTGTGAGTACCCGTGGGCTGGAAGCTGCTAAGTACTGTGAATAAAATAAAGTGGGAGAGGGGGGTGGGTGGCCATTTTTCAAAGGAGAAGGCCTTGCTGAACTTGTGACCTTTTGAACATATTCAGGTATGAAAACACAGCAAAACCCCCAATGAGGTAGGCCAGGGCGAACGTGGCTTCACTCACCAGGAAAGGTGTGCAGACCCAGGTGAAGGTTCCCACAGCTGCCAGGTAGGCCGATTTCTTGAGCACCTTCAGCTCCTCCTGCCTGATGGCCAGCACCTTGTCTTTGAAGGCCAGTTCCCAGGCATAAAGCTTGAGCACTTTGATCCCATTGAGAATCTCGTTCATCAGCTTAATCCGATTGTCTTTGCTCTTCATGTGCGCCACCTTCAGAGACAAGAACAGTCAACACCACAGCGAGGGGGGGACCCACTTCCAGCCCTGGCAGCAGGCCCGCACACAACATCCCCATCGGAAAGGGGGGCCTTCCAAAGGGTGGGAAAGCCAACCCTGAAATCCCTATGAGCCCTCCTCCCCTTGACCGAGAGCACCAAGGACCCTTTTACCACAAGAAGAAACCTGCTTTGGATCACGTTAAATGGGATGTGGAGACACCTATTAAATTTAGATTTGAGAAGTAGAAACAAGAACAGCCCTGCAGGTGTCCAGGGAAGGGGGGACAGGGACCCTACTCTACTGATCCAAACACAAGACAGGTAACGACGCTGGGGATTTTTTTGGTTTTTTTCTTCCCTGCTCCGTTTTCTTAGTTTCTTTACTGAGCCATACTGCCCGTTAAACAGCATCCAGCACTTTCCAGATGCCGAGCACTTTTCTAAAGCACTGGACACACATCTAGCTACTTCATGCTCACAAGAACCCTATCACCGAGGGCTCTGGTCATTCCTGGTCACAGATGAGGATGCTTTTTAAGTCCCGTCAGATCGAAGCCAGAGACTGATGATGTTTCAAAAGCGAGCCACTCAGGGAAGCCTACATAGCATCAGGAGGACGAAAGGTGACAGGGCCCCTTCCTTGCCTAACCTCCTCCCACCTGTACCTGCTGAGGCCTCATTCCAAGAGGCCCACGCCCTGGGACTCATCTCCCTTCCTGCATCCTCAGTGCAGCTTAAGTGCTCTCATTCGCAATTCCACAGGCACATCATAAAAAGCCATCAACAGGGGAGCAGAGAAATAAACTCTGGCGCCTCTCCGTTATGGACCATTTGGTGCTAGTTCAAGAGCATGAAGTCAGATTATACGGAAAGATCTCTGAGACATGGTGTCAAATGATAAGACCAGGCTGCCAAATGGGCCCATGCCTATAAAAATGTACATGGTGGTAACACCACGAAGAAACACACGTAGGTCCACCAAACCTAACTGTAAAATCAGATCTCTCTATAAATACACGGGAAGTTCTAGAAGCGTTTGCTTCAGCGTGCTCACTGGCATGGAGACGACAGGGAAGGGGACATCCCCTTTTAATCTATACTCTTTTCTATCAACAGAACATGTTTTATGAGGAGAAGGCATGAGCTCTGTTACTTGGCTATTTAAAAACTTAAAAAGTACAAAACACTTGTGAAAATAGTTGAACGCTGCGCCTAGCAAAACGTAAGAGGTGAAAAAAGGGAGTAATTTTTACTCAACTCTCAAAAATGCACAGGAAACACATAAATGACTGAATTCTGTGAGAAATAAGGAATTTCTCAGAAGCTCACAGATGTGATTTTGGTCACTGGCCTAAGAGGTCTAGCTATTTCAGGAACTCTCAACCTTGGCAGTCCATCGGACTCACCCAGGAAGCTTTAAAAACTGATGCCCAGACGAAGTGAACCAGAATCCCAGAAATGGAGCCCAGGTATCAGCATTTAGGAAAGCTCCTCAGGGGATTCCAACAGGCATGCAGGGCGGAGAACCTCTGGGGCCTGCGCAGAAAGAACTTAGCTAAAACCCAAATGGAAAAGGCCTCAACAAGAGCCCAGCTTGGAGCCCTACGGAGACAGACACCTTACCTGGTAGGTCTTGGTCTTCATGGCCATCACGGCATTGAGGGGAACCATGAGGATCATCACAGCCACCCCGGCCAGGACGGATGGACCCAGGTTCTAGGGAAGAAAGAGAACAGAGGCCTTCAACAGGGGACTTCCCTGGCCGAGCCACCCCAGCCGATCCTGCAGACCTGGCCAATCGCCTTCATGGCAGCTGTATCACCCTTACACGGCGACGGGCTGTTAAGAATATTCAGATTTATTCATGAGCATCTCTTGGGGTCCCACAACCCTTTTAAGAACATGAAGGGGCGGGGCGCCTGGGTGGCTCCGTTGGTTAAGACTGCCTTCGGCTCAGGTCATGATCCCGGAGTCCCGGGATCGAGTCCCGCATCCGGCTCCCTGCTCAGCAAGGAGTCTGCTTCTCCCTCTGACCCTACCCCCTCTTGGGCTCTCTCTCACTCTCTCTCAAATAAATAAATAAAATCTTTAAAAAAAAAAAAAAAGAACATGAAGGGGCCAGGTGAGTTTCGGAAATTAGAACTTTAGAAAGGTGGGCCGCTTGGGTGGCTCAGTCGGTTGAGCCTCCAACTCTTGATTTCAGCTCAGGTCATGATCTCGGGGTCCTGGGATTGAGCCCTGTGTAGGGCTCCCCACTCAGCAGGGAGTCTGCTTGTCTCTCTCCCCCTCTGCCCCTCCCCCTGCTCTCGTGCTTTCTCTTAAATTTTTTTTTTTAAAAAGAACTTCAGAAAAGTAATAAGGCATTGAATAGAAAAGAGTTAACACAGCCAGCCTGACAGTGTATCTTGTTTGAAGGCCTGCTTACAAATTTGGCCCTTGGCTGGCATCTGGGAGCTTGGATTTAGGGAGGGCTCCCACCATTCTCAGAACTGGTAGGAGTGGTTCACTGGGCCTCAACTCTTTGTATAAATGATATGGTTTATGCTGAACCCCCCCTTTGTCTTCTGGGAGTCTAGAAGTCTGGTATGTGCCAGGCAGAGGCTACCTGTGTGACCAACCCCCAATAAAAACCCTGGACATTGGGTCTCTATCAAGCTTCCCTGGCTAACAACATTTCACACGTTGTCAGAACTTGTTGCTAGGGAATTAAGTGCATCCTGTGTGAGTCCACTGGGAGAGGACTCTCGAAGTCTGTACCTGCTTCCCCCTGACTCCTCCCCCACGTGTCTTTACCCTTTGCTTTTCCTGCTGTAATAAATTAGAGCCATGAGTCCTCCTAGCAACTCAACAACCTGGCATGGTCTTCGGGACTGCTGACACAGGTGTGGCCATATATTGCTTTACATGCTCCCTGGGGCCCTAGTACAGCACTCCATCATCAAAGGTACTGATTTCTCAGCACCAAAATAGGAATATTCGCACTGAGAAGATAATCAAGATCATAAATACTTAGTTCAGGTCAGGTCAGGTTATGGCACCACGTGAGTTAAGGAAAACTTCCAGAGCTTTTGGATTTGGGGATTTGTAGATAAGAGGTTGTAGACGTGTTCTATTATCCTAATTGTAGATAAGAAAACCACCCGAGAGAGGTTAAGAGACCAAGATAAGATACAGATCCCAATCTTTTTTAATTTTGACACCTAAAAAGAGACACCTTGAGAAACTGGCCCAGGGCATGTACCCAGCGGATACACATGAATGGAACTATAATGTGATTTTTTTTCTCCCCCTTAAGCATTTGGAAAACCAGGAGTGCTCGTCTCTTCCAAGTCATGACCCACAGGGGCACCAGTCCCAGTCTCCCCAAAAATGCTGCCATTGCTTATAATGGTTTCCACGAAGTATCTCCACCCAGAGACGATTTATCCACCTTGGAAAATGAAGGAAATTTCTACCAACAATTTAAAGCATTCAGAATGAACTCTGAAAGCAAACAGTATTTAAAAGATACTGAGTGTGTTTACACACCATGTGCCGTTCTATGAACGTAACCTGCACTGTTTCATTCCTTCACCCCAACATCCCCATGATGAGAAGTACCATTACCATCACCAATTTGCTGATGAGGACACACTGAGACTTAGTGACATTAAGTGATACGGTCACAAACCTAATCAATGGAAGAGGCACGATTTGAACCCAGGCAGTCTCATCGCTGAGCCCACAAACCATCACTATCCTATACTGTGGTTTTGATGGTCACAAAGAGGAATCCTATTTTCTATCCAAACCAATGGTTCCCAAACAGGGAAGAATTGCTCCCCGGGGTCATCAGGCAATGTCTGGAGACATCCGGGTCACAACTGGCCAGGGGGAGGGAGGGAGGGGGTTGCGTTCTTGATATCAGTGTGACCAGACCAGGGACGCTGCTAAACGTCCTGCAGTGCACAGGACAGCCCCCCCACAACAAAAAACTATCTGGCCCCACAAGTCAATAATACATTCAGCAACCCTCATCTAAAACAAAACAATGTTCTTAATGGTTCATAAATCAACCCTGGAGGCTGATTCTAAAAGAAGTGTTCCAAAAATATTTCACCCGTGGCTGAAATTTCGGGGGAAGTGGATACCCCAAGACGTCGGCCCCAAAATACATTTAGATTCTGGTATTTATTTCTAAGTTTCATTTCTAGAAACAATTTATAATCACTCATCTTCTGCTGTATAAACAGACAAAAAAAAACTACAGTCAAATTCATGGATAATTTCCTGTGCACCTATTAGGTACCAGGCCCTGCTGGGACTACACTCATGGGAAATGAAAAATAAAGCAAATACAAGACACTAAGGGACGCCTGGGTGGTTCAGTCAGTTAAGCGTCTTAACTTAGGTTTGGGTCATGATCCCGGGGTCCGGGGATCCAGTCCCGTGTCTGGCTCCGTGCTCATCGGGGAGTCCACTTGTCCCTCTCCCTCTGCCCCTTCCCCTGGCTCATGCTCGCTCGCTCTCTCAAATAAATACATAAAATCTTTGAAACAAAACAAAACAAAAAATCAAGAAACTAAGCCCATGAGTAACCAACACACTTAATCAGGAGAGGAGGGGCAGCTATACTGAGCAGCAAAAACACTATTCTAGAAGGTAACGTCAAAGGAGCTCCTATACTATATTATTGGGATTTAAAAAAGGAAGAAATCCATCTAATCAAGAGGGAAAAGCAATTTGAATGTGGCAGTTGTGACAGCCTTTAAAGATGGGCAGGACTTCATCCTTAGGGAAGAAGAAGGGAAAGGAATTCCTGGCAGAAAGAAAGACACAGGCAAAAGCTCAGAGGTGACAAAGGATAAGTCACGTGTTAGGCCATGAGCATTTCATCAACTTTTCACTTTGGGAACTGCCCTTCCTCATGTGGAGGGGTTGTCAATCACAATTCCAAACTTTCAATGTGGGAGGGCGTGTGACCTGGGCTGGCCAATCAGAGAACTCTGCCTCCTGGTTCACCGTGATTGGTACAGGGATGTGATTGGGAGTGTGCCTGGTCAAGCAAAGGGCTCCGTGGGACTCTGGCTGAGGAAATGAGGAATGCAATATTCTCTTTTCTCTGACACTGCTCTCAGGAAAGAGGATAAAAGCCCAAAGGTTATGGAAGCCACCGAGGGAAATCCCATTGAGAATGAAGTCACCTCAGAGGCAAATAGGGCCAAGAAATGATGAAAGAGTGAGCTTGAGTCCTTAAAGCACTGCGTGAACTCCTGGATCCATCCATGCCTGAAACCATTCCCTGTGCTCTGCAGTTATATATACCCATAAAATTCCCTTTACTTGTTTAGACTATTTTTTTTAAGATTTTATTTATTTGACAGAGAGAGAAAGCGTGTGCACACATGTGAGAGCACAAGCAGTGGGGAGGGGCAGAGGATGAAGCAGACTCCCTGCTGAGCAGGGAGCCCGATGCAGGGCTCTATCCCAGGACCCTGGGATCACGACCTGAGCCGAAGGCAGATGCTTAACCAACTAAGTCCCCAGGCACTCTGCTTATTAGACTACTTTAAAATGGATTTCTATCCCTTACAACTCAGAGAATCTTGACCAACACAGTTCGAGACTAGTGAATAAAGGAATCTGGTTGGTGTTTGGGAGGATAAGGTGGGAGAAATATGCTGTGTAAGTTATAAGGTTGTTAATTATATACACTGTCAAAAAAAGGACAAATGCAAACAAGTATCATGCCAGCAAAAAGAGCATAAATCCAACAACCAAGGAAACAGATAAAATACCCAGGAATTATCCAACAGACCACAAAATAAAATGTGATTGATGTCAAGAAAAAATAAACCCAGGGGTGCCTGGGTGGCTCAGCCGTTAAGCGTCTGCCTTCGGCTCAGGTCATGATCCCGGGGTCCTGGGATCGAGCCCCGAGTTGGGCTCCCTGCTCAGTGGGGAGTCTGCTTCTCCCTCTCCCACTCCCCCTGCTTGTGTTCCCTCTCTCGCTGTGTCTCTCTCTGTCAGATAAATAAATAAATAAAATCTTTAAAAAAAGAAAAAAGAAACCCAGTGAATTATAGAGGTCCTTATCACTGACACCCACCCCCTCCCCCTACTGCCCATGTGAGGTGGTCCCTCCCTCTTGGAGATGGGAACGACGTCAAACACACACCAGCCACAGCAGGTAGAGAGCAAGGATGACTTGCAGAGGAGCTGACCAGATCATGTTAATGTACGTGGCCAGGTCCATGAACCTCTGGGCGTCCACAGACATGAGGTTGACAATCTCCCCGACGGTGGAGGACTTTCTGGCGGAGTTGGTGATCACCAAGGCCTGCAGGACAATGGAGAGAGAAAGTGTGGCGGTTGAGCGTGGCAGGCAAGAGCCCTCCCTCCAGGCCCATGTGGAAGAAGAAGACAGCTCAAGAGCGGAAAGCCCACTCTCTTTTCTCCTGCCTTGCTGCCTTATCTGCATTCCCAGCTCGTATGTCCCATCACAAAGCCCCAGCTCTTATCAATGACCCTCACAGCCTCATCCTGACTTCTGCAATATGGAAGGGACCCCAAGGCCACCTAAACCAGGGCTTCACACACTTTAGGGTGCACACACATCACCGGGGAAATGTTACAGTGTCTTTCAGATGTGGTAGGACTGGGGTGTGGGGCCTGGGACGATGCCTTTTCTACTACGCTCCCACATAATGCAGGTGCTGCTGGTCCGCAGATCACACTCAAGCAGGAAGGTCAAGGTCAGGGTTTCTCAACCTTGGCATTACTGACGTTTGAAGCTGAATACGTCTTTGTGGGACTGGCCTGTGCCTTGCAGGGTGCTCTTCAGCATCCCCGGCCTCTACCCACTAGATGCCACCACCTCCAGTTTGGACAACCAAAAACATCCTCTGGAAGGATGAAATTGCCCTGGTTCTCAAACGCGGTTTCACACGATTACCTGGGGAATTTAAGAAATAAAGCTGCCCAGGTCCCACCCTCAGAGATCCTGATTTTGTCCGTCTGCGGTGCAGCCTGCACAGTGGGAAGTGCTGAAGTTCCCCAGGCGAGTCCAACTTGCAGACAGGGCTGAGGGCCAACGAACTGGCCCACTGTCCTCACTATCTGCTAGGCAGTCTCGTCTCAACCCATCGGCCCAAGCAGTGTCTCTGCCCCAGAAGCTAAGAAATCGAAGGAATCCAGAAATTCCCGTAGAGCTGGATGTGCATGAATGTCTGCTAAATACTCCCACTATCCAGGTAAAGGACCACCTGCTCAGTTCCAATGGAGAGTTAGAACAAGCTCGCGGGGTTATCAACAGCAGAGTGACCATGTGAACCCGGATTTTCCCAAGTTGAGTGCCACCTAAGAAACTCCGTTCTGCACGGCTGACACAGGCATCAAGGAGATACTACACGTCAGCTTTGCTAAGATCTCATGCCCGATGGTCAATCCTTCCCAGTTACGGTCACGTGGGTCACCCTCCCACTACCGCTTCACAAGTTGGGCTTGAAATCCTTACAGTGGCCCCACGGTGACCTAGCCAAGTCCCCACAGATTCTGAAGCTACAGCGGGAGACGTCAACGTGAGCCCCTGGGCTTCAGGCCTGGCCCTCACCGGCTTCAGGTTGACCCACACCGCCTTCCGGTAGACGCCACCCGCCTTCCGGTAGACGCCACCCGCCTTCCGGTTGACCCCCCCCCCCACCTTCCGGTAGACGGCGCCGATGACGGCCGTCTTGATCCTCATGCCGCTGACGAAGCAGATGTGGAAGTACTGGTGCAGCACGAGGGTCTGGAGGCAGGCGCTGACGAAGAGCAGCGCGGTGTAGAAGTAGCCCTGCCAGTCCGGGGCCTTCTGATCATTCACGAAGTTGATCAGCAATCTGTGAGGGAGCAAGGACAGAAGGACGGGAGTCTGACGCACACGCGCAGGGAACAAGTCCTTCCATTTCCGCATTTCCACTCTCTCCGAGCCAGGCGAGGCGGGCGTTATTCCTTCCGTTTTATGCATGGAATAACAAGCCCACGGGGGTGACGGGACCGTGCAGGGTGCCTGAGCCCTAGGCCTCTCGTACGGACTGCTCTGGCTCATCACCAGTCACCCGGAGGTGACCAGAGAATATGAGAGGCAAAGGTAGAAAGGCAAAGAGAAGGAGCATATGGCCCCCAAGAGACAGAGAGAGAGGTGAACAGAGAGAGGAGGGAGGGGACCTCCTTTGTGACTTTCTGTTTTCAGGCTGCAGTTTGATGCAGTCTGGCTCACTTTCTTGTTCTTGGGTTTCCCTAGACATTCCTCTCTCTTCCCTCCTTTGGCTTCAGGGGAAGTTGGTTTCTGTTACCTGCAATCCAAGTGGCCTGAGTTCAGATGGTATCAAAGCAAAACATGAGGCAAAGCGCGTGAAGACAGGCTCGGCTTTAAGCCCATTGGGGGTGGGGGCCACACCGGGTGACCCCAAGGCAGAGGTACTGCCGGCGGAAGGTCAAGGACACAAAAGACTTGCCCCGCTGAGAGGGAAAGGGGTCTTACTTTAAGATCTCTGGGCCTGCAAACATCATCAGGTCGTGGAGGGCCTTGAACAGGAAGCTCATGAGGAAGTAGGGTCCAAAGGTCTTGTATAACACCTTGAACAGAGACGGCTCCCGCTCCTTCTGGGGGGACTTGACAATCAAAACCTCAGCCTCCTCATTCACATCCACCTGCGAGCCCCCTTTCGGCTTGGCGGGGTCCTTGGAGGAGTACGCCATCTTTGCCTGCTGCCTGGAACACAAAGAGTGTGGAGCGGTTATGGGGTCTTCCGGAGACTGGGCCAGCTGGCCCGAGGAGAGGCCCAGAGCACCCCACCCCTCGGGGAGGCCGGCCAAAGAAAACCAGTCACTGCAGAGAGGCAGCTTAGCACACTGCTTAGGAGCACAGACTCGGGACCCTGGCCGGCCAGCTGTGTGACTTTCAGGCAAGTTCCCTAACCAGCCCAGGTTCACCACCTGTTGAACGGGGATACAAGTAGGATCCAGCTCACAGGGCTGCTGTGAAGATTACATGGGTTAATATCCACGAAGGGCACTGAAAACCACCAGGCCCACAATGATCTACAGATGCGATGTGCCGGAGTCCAGCTCCAGGCGGGGAAGGGTCCTTGGAAAGGACGGCGTCGGCAAGTGAGGAGACTCGGACACAGGATCAGGTTGTAAGCATCTCCCTGATAGCCTCGGAGGGACCTTTTTTATTCATTAGAATGTTTCCTTGTTTTTCCATTCTTTTACTCTTGCTTAAAGGTTATCTAAAGTTTATTCTTTCTCCAAAGGCAGCTTACAATGTGTGCACCCTATCTTATCAAAGCACTTATTCCATTTCTATATGTTTTCCGTCTGTTGTCCTTGCTCCATAGACACCACGGAGGATCACTCCTTTCCCAGACCCTTTGTTTACGTCCTCATTATCAACTCCAGTATAGGGAGTGGGAGGAGTAGGGGCAAGGAAGTTATCCTACACCAGGGGCTTGCCTTGAGGGGCATACCAAAGGTGGCCTCCTATTTTGTATACAACATAGGGAGGTTCCTGTACTGTGGAATGTCATGAGATTTTTCTTTCCTAGAATCCTAATGTTTCAGAGGTGCCTGAGGAATCTCATCAATAGGAATTTTTACTGGGCCTGGATCGGACAGCTCCCTTACAGATTGGAGACATTGGGTATTTTTACTTCTTGGCCCATCATTGGCCTTTTTGGAATCAGTTTCATTATGATTGCTTGCATAGACATAACTAAATTTATCAATCATTTTATCATGAAACCCCAGAATTGATTATAAAGATTGCCACAAATAAAATGAAAGGAAGTAGCAGGAGCCAGCTGTGGAGTCTCCTGATTTTTCAGGATTGTCCCTCATACTTGGACATTGTCAAACAGCATGAGTAGCTTGGCTCGCGCCATCGATGTGCATGCACTCTTCTCAGAATCCCAGCTGACTTTTTTATAGAAAATGACAAGCTGATTCTAAAATTCATACAGAAACTCAAGGGACCCAGGACGGCAAAAACAATCTTTAAAACGAAAATCAAAGTTAGAGAATGCACACTTTCCGATAACCGTAATGAAGATAGGCATAAGGAAAGGTAAGTGCGCGCGTGTGCACACACACACACACAATCAACAGAACCAGAAATAAACCTGATTGATTTCTGACAAGAGTGTCAAGACCGTTTAATGGGAAAAAAATAATCTTTCTGGGGCACCTGGGTGGCTCAGTTGGTTAAGCATCTGCCTTCTGCTCAGGTCATGATCCCAGGATCCTGGGATCGAGTCCCACGTCAGACTCCTTGCTCAGCAGGAGCTTCTCCCTCTCCCTCTGCCCCTCCCCCCTGCTCATGCTCTCTCTCTCTCTCAAATAAATAAAATCTTTAAAAAAATTAAAAAAAAGAACAATCTTTTCAACAAATGGTGCTGAGAAACCAATGAAGCTGGACCCTATTTCATTCCATATACAAAAATTAACTCGAAATGGGTCAAAGACCTACACACAGAATTACAACTACAAAATTCTTAGAAGGAAACAAGTGAGGGGCACCTGGGTGGCTCAGTCGGTTAAGCATTCAACTCTTGAAGTCGGCTCAGTTCATGATCTCAGGGTTGTGAGATCGAGCTCCACGTCAGGCTCCATGCTCAGCAGGGAGTCTGCGTGAGATCCTCTCTTTCCCTCTACCCCTCCCCCAGCTTGCACACATGCATGCGTACTCTCGCTCTCTCCCAAATAAACAAATAAATAAATAAATAAGGAAAGGTGAAAAATCTTCATGACCTTGCATCTGACTACGGATTCTGAAATATGACACCAAAAGTACAAGCAATAGAAGAAAAAATAAGATCACCTGGATTTTGTCAAAATTAAAAAAATGTCCTGTTTCAAAGGACAAAATCAGGAAGTGAAAAGACTACCCACGGAATGAGAGAAAATATTTGCAAATGAAATATCTGATAAGGGACTTGTAACCAGAGCATGTCAAGAACTCTTACACACAATAAGGAAAAAAAAAAAAAAGACCAATTTAAAAAGGGGCAAAGAAGATAGGCAAATGGCCATGAAATGTTGCTTGACATCATTCTTCATGAGGGAAACACAAACCAAAACCGCAGTAAGGTATTATTTCACACCCACAAGGTGTATCATCAAAAAGCCAGATAATAACAAGCGTCTGCAAGGATGTGAGAAACTGGAGCCCTCGCACCGGCCCCTGCGCAGTTCCCTCCCACTCGATGAGGATATAGCAGAAACAATGGAGTGCGTGCCACTTCCAAGATTAGGTCATAGAAAACACAGTGGCTTCTGTCTTGCCCTCTCTTGGGTCATTCCCTCTAGACAAAGCCAACAGCCATGTGAGGATGATACCGGAGGAGCCCCCATGATGAGACGTTGCCAAGAGCCAACCCTGACTTACTAGCCATGTGCAACCTGAAAGCAGGGCCTACAGTCCCAGTCGAGCCTTCAGATGATGTGGCCCCAGCTGACATGCTGAGTGCAACTTTAGGAGGCGCTGAGCCAGAACCACCCTGCTAGGCTGGATCCCTGACCCAGAGAAACTATGTGAGATAGTAAATGTTCACTGTCATTTTGAGCTGCTAGGTTTCAGGTAATGGATTATGCAGCAACAGACATACCTCCTAGCTCTTGTCTCCCAAATTAAAGTTAACATCTTCAAATGGCCGGACGTGGGCTCCACCACCAAAACACATGCTTCATCCTCACCTAACCAAACATCAGCAATTTACAGGATCCTTCCATGGCATAAGTATACTGAACTGCATTCAATTTCAGAAGGCTCTCCCTTGTCATGTCGATGCCACACACTTGACTATTTAAACCACCTGACACTTTCTCTTGGCAACCACAGCCTTCCGATCTGCCTCAGCTCACTCCCCACCCCCAGAAAAGGACCAGAAACATGGGAATCTCCTCCAGGCTCTGGGGCTGATCAGGTGTGCGTCCCATCCGTCCCAACCCAGGACAGGTGTGGGCGTCCGTCCACTCTGTCCACGTCCACAGCCTGTGGCCCATGCGAACGACCACCACCAGGGCCTCCTCCCTGCTCCCTGACAGCCAAGCTCCTGCACAGCAGCCAGTGGGACCTTCCTAAAAACACATCATCCCCCTACTTCAACTCATGGCTTCCCAGTGCATCCAGAAAAAAACCTAAACTCTGTGTGAAGTTGTGTAACTTCCTATGTGTGCTGTGTAACAAATTACCACAAACTGAGTGGCTTAAAGCAACACAAATTTATTGTCTCATAGTTCCGGGGCTCAGAAATCTGAAGGCGGCCCACAGGGTTACATTCCTTCTGTTTCCTGGTCTTTTCCTACTTCTAGAAGCCTCCTACATTCCCAGGCTTGTGGCCCCTTCCCTCCAATTAAAAGCCAGCTGCAGCTGCAGCTGCAGAGCACTCCCCGCCCCGCCCCCCCCCAACCTCCTGTCTCCTTTTACAAGGACCTGGTGATCATATCAGGCCCTTTGCCTTTGTGATGTAAGGTTCTGGGGACCAGGACATGGACATCTTTGTGTGTGCATTATTCCACCAGCCACACTGCCAATGTCACCGTGCATGATCTTCCCTACTCTCTTTAATGACCTGCCCTAAAGCTGCCCTTTCCTGACTGGGATTTTTAGTGTAATTCCTTTTAGCACACACAGACCTCCTTGGCAAGGAAGAAAGGGCCAGGCGAGGAGGAAGGGAGTGGCTCAGCCCTCCCCGTCCACTCTTTGTACCACTTCCTAAGCCAGACCTGGCCCCGCGCCTGTGTGGGCTGCTGGTAACCCACGGCTGTTTCCAGTGGCCAAGAGACAGGTGCCAAAGGGTCAGGGAGAAGGTCTCAGGCAAGCAGAGAGGAGGAAAGCTCAGGCCTGGGTGGACAAGGTCAAGAACATTGGGAAGGATGGGCGCCTGGGTGGCTCAGTCAGTTAAGCAACCGCCTTTCGCTCAGGTCATGATCCCGGAGTCCTGGGACTGAGTCCCACATCGGGTTCCCCCTTCTCTGTGGGGAACCTGCTTCTCCCTCTGCCTCTGCCTGCCACTCCCCCTGCTTGTGCTTACTCTCTCTCTCTGTCAAATAAATAAATAAAATCTTTAAAAAAAAAAAAAAAAAAGAACGTTGGGAAGGATCAGCTAAGGCCAAGTCAAGAAAGAAAACTATCCCATGAACAAGAGGCCTACAAAGGAGGGAAGTGCTCCAGGAGGGGAGAGGAAGCAAGCCGGGCATCTGTAAGCTCTGGCTGGGAGGGGAAAGGAAAGTTGGAGGGGAAAAGTCTGAGTCAGGGGAAAACCGTCCAGAGCAACGGAACAGAAAAGGGTGGGTAAAGCTGAAGGCTGGGGAGAAAAAGAGCCTTTGTGAGTAGATAGATTCCAAAGTGTGCAGAGATGCCCATCAGTCACTTGTCCACTAATGAACTAAACCCATGTTCTGGGTCAAACTCTGGACAGAGCCCTACCATCACAGAGCCTCATGAGAGGGAAGGATTAGCAAACATGACTTCACAATACTCTTACTGGTGCTATCATGGGGGCTTTCCCAGAGGAGGTGACATCAAAGCAGTGCCCTAGCAGTGCCCTGTAGGATGAGAGAATCAGGAGAAGGAAAGGGTGATCCAGGTTGGTGGGGGGGGGGGGGGGGGGACGACAGGATGAGCAAGGTCTGGAGCTAAGGATTGGAAATGAGGTTTGGCAGCCCTTTCTCAAACAGGCGAGAACCTCAGGGTAACCTGAACAGGACTGGGAGCAGACTGCAGGAGGCTTTAACCGACGGAAGAGCAGTGAGGCGCTACTGAGGACTCTGTCATGCGTCGTGAAGGCTTTAGGAAAGGCCAAATCTCAAACTTAAAAAAGTCTTAGCGCAACTGAAATTTCTACATTTCTGGATGTCTTCTGAGCATCATGGCCTTTGACCCATAATAAATATCCAATATAACATGGAAGGGCAGACTTGACCTACAATTGCAGAGAATGGATTTTACAAACTTGGTGCATATTTTCACTCTGCTTAGCGCTGAGGATATACAAAATGATAGTTTCTGGAACCACAGAGGGAGTGGCAAGGGTCCGCCTCCCACCCCACCCTAGCCCTTGGGTAGCCCTGGCAGGATTTTAAATGTGTTGCTTATGAATCCAAATGACTCAAGCTTTCCCCCACTACCCTACCCTTTCTCAAGTTTTTTTTTTTTTTTCAGTGCTTTCTGTTCCTCAAAAACAGAGCTTCTCAAAGGGGGTTGTTTTGCAAATGCCACATTCTCGGATTGTCAAGACTGAGCCAGATACTAGACCTTCTGTGACCTACAGAACTTCGGTCTCCCAAAAAAGAGCCCAACAAGAATCTGTGTAGGTTAAAAAACCTGCCCGAAATTAGCCAGGTCTGGAATCTAACTCCGTTTTCAGACATAAATCCATAGTGTGTATTTTGTTGTTCTTGCAAGCTTAAATACACCTTGAATTTTTTTCACGAATGCAACTATTATTGAAATGAAGGGGAGACTGTGTTTCGTTCAGAACTTTGCTAAGCGTTAGCCACCACTCTGCAAAACCTCTTCTGTGAGGGCGACTGACCATGGTTCTGGAGATCTGGAGGGATTTGCAGCTGTCACAGGGAACCCTCCACTTTGGGACAAGCCGCGACTCTCCATTCTGTTCTCCCAGCGCACGCCTGAGCATTTACTCACTGAAATACACGTTGTCTCATTACAAATCCCTTGTTTCCATTTTCCCTTAAAGTCTAGTGAGAGCATTTTGCTAATTTTTAAAAGTTTAGCTATACGGGTGAGCTATTTTTATTGATACATTATCTTAAAGTAACTGTACTGATGTCAGAAAATCTTTGTATTCAAGGCAGCAGTGAGTCTGCAAGGTTCAGAACCACTGTTCAGCACCGTGCATGCTGGCACTTTGTGTTGTTTTTTTGTTATTTTCTGTCTGCATTTCTTCACTAAATAGAGACAAGTAAACAAAAATAGCCACTCTAGGGGCGCCTGGATGGCTCAGTCGGTTAAGCATCTGCCTTCAGCTCAGGTCATGATCCCAGGGTTCTGGGATGAAGCCCCCCATCGGGCTCCCTGCTCAGTGGGGAGCCTGCTTCTCCCTCTCCCCCTGCAGCTCCCCCTGCTTGTGCTGTCAAATGAATAAATAAAATCTTAAAAAAAAAAAATGGTCACCCCTTCCTTAAGCACGTTTTCTGCCACACACACACACACACACACACACAGCTTTATTGAGGTATAACCGATGTATGCTCAATTGCACATTCTGGGAACATACGAATTGATGAGTTTTGACCTATATGGATACATACACCTGTAAAACTGTCCACAAAATCAAGATGGTAAACATATCCACCCTCCCTCCCCCCCAACCCCAACAAGGTCTGCCAGGGCCCCTCGGTAACTTCTCCCTCCCACCTGCAGGCTGTTCCCTAGCTAAGTGAAGAGGCCTGGCCACAAGGGGCCACACCAAGAAATCCCAGCTGAGAACAGGACTTTCCCTTTCGCCCACCATGTCCACAGGGGTTACAGGTGCCAGATCTGGTTTGTGCCTCTGGAGACAGAGCGAAGGACCCATCCGCCAGTGACCCAAGGCAGTGAACCCCCAAGCTGAGAACCCCTAAAGGCAGAGGTATTAAGAGAGCCAGTGCCTCTAGGGGTGGCCTATGTTGGAACCCGAGGAGCCAGGGCTCACCACGTCCTCCCAGGCAAGATGGGAATGCCCAGCCTGGTTCCGCATCCAGATGAATCAACACAACTTGTATGGTATTACCTGCCCAGGGTTTACCCAAGACCATGACAGGGCTTCTCAGATGATGTTTATCTCAGTTAATTGTCAGAAAACCCTCTGAGCAGAAAACAGAGGCTCTGGGGCATTAAGGGACCCGAGGGACAGCCCCTAAGGCCCCCCACCCTGGTCTCCTTGCCCCCCTTCTCACTTTCCCCAGGGCAGCCCCGCTGGTTATAAAACAAAACTCAGGACAGGCCACTGGCCCGCATAAAATCCACCTCTGACTTCTCACCGCATTTAGGATCAAACCTGAACTCACTAGCATGGCCGATGAGATCCCTGCAAAAGCTTCTCCTACCTTACCTCCTTCCATTCTGCCCCTCACACACTCCACTCAGGCCACGCTGCCCACCCCCCACCCCCGCCTTCTCCATAAGTACGCCAGCCTCACCTCTACCTCAGGACCTTTGCATGAGCTGTCCCTTCTAACCATAAAGCCCCTCCCACACATGTGGCTCACTACCTCCTTCAATACGAACTTCTGCTCCAATGTCACCTTGTGAGAGGCCATCCCCAACCACAGCGTCTCTACCAGCTTCCTCGGCCACTCCTGTCCCACCTCCTTGCTATAATCTCCTAAAACCTAACACTCTCCAAAACTTTCCCCATCAGCGTTATGTTCGACTGCCATCCTGTCTGTCTCCTATATGGAATGGAAGGTGGCCCCCAACAAGGAGCCTTTTTGGTGCCACTTTCTGAACGCAGAGGGCCTGAACAGACCACACAGTAGCAGGAGACATGAAATCTGCTGAATGAATCAGTTAAGGGCCAGGCTGGGGATAGCCAGGGCTTCTTGTTCAAGCGTGGTCCTCCTTCCATGGAGCCTCTGGGGCAACCTCTCCCACACCATCTGCAGCAACCTGCTTATCAAGAAGGATGCCACCGGCCAGGCTGGGAATAGAACCAGGGAGCCGCCTCTGCCGGAGAACCTCCAACTGGGTCATGGGCACCAGATTCAGGTGGAGCTCTATGTGCACAGAACACCACCCATCTCACGACGCCCACCCACAGAGCCTTACACTCAACCTGCCTCCCCTAAGACAACATCTCCTGTGTCTGTGGCCACCCCAAATGGGCCACCAGCTCAGCATCACAAGGGTCTCCACTGGTGTCCCAGTGGCGAACAGTACGAATGTGCCCAGTTCCCACCCCCCAAGCCAGGCCTGACCGAAGAAGATCTATAGCCTGGGTGTTCTGACAACTGGACCTCAAGTCCAAGGTTTTTCTCCTGGAAGGACAACTGCTCTGTGGGAGATCCAACACACCAGGCTGGTCCCACCGGCAGCCAGTGCTAAGAGGTCAACGACAGGCCCACCCCATAAAACCGCAGGAGCAATGACAGCCACTTCTGGTTCTGCTCCTACTACCAACCTCTACCGTCCCCATGTCACTCACAAGTTCTCAACTGCCTCCTCAACACAGGACACACGCCAAGTCCAATGACCTACCCTTCTGTAACAGCCACTTTACTTTCTTACCAGCACGTAACACAATGCTGTTTCATATAACTGAGGACGTCTTAGATTTGATGAAATCAAGTATGTGCTGGGGAGGCCCTGGCCTAATTCCCAAAATAACCTGATGACAGATGTCACGTGATGGCACGCAGCTAACAACGGGAGGAGTGTCTAAAATGCAGGATACCTTGGTGCCTGGGTGGCTCAGTCATTAAGCATCCGCCTTCGGCTCAGGTCATGATCCCAGGGTCCTGGGATGGAGCCCTGCATCGGGCTCCCTGCTCTGCGGGAAGCCTGCTTCTCCCTCTGCCTGCCACTCCCCCTGCTTGTGCACATACTCTAATAAATAAATAAATAAATCATCTTAAAAAAAAAAGATACATAAATAAAATTCAGGACACCAAGTGTGAGCCATAATGCAAACTACGGGCTCGGGGGTGATCATAATGCATCAGCGTAGGTTCATCACTTCTGACAAACGTCCCATTCTGCTGGGGGACACTGATAAGGGAGGAGGCGATGCACGTGTGGAGGCAGGGGGTACACAGAACTCTCTGTGCTTTCTGCTCTAAAAACTAGAGTCTATTTTATTCTTAAAACCAGCACAGTCAAAAGCACCCTTGGTGGGGGCTTCTTTGGCAGAACACCTGCTGAGGGGCTTGGTGTGTTGAAGCCAAAACAGTGAGAAGAGCAGGAACTCAGGATGCCAGACACTCTCAGTGAGACAGGCAAGGTGGCGCTGTCTTGGGCTGGGCGGGGTCACACACCCCAGGCACGCACTTGCCGAGGGCCCGAGCAAACGGCATCAAGAGCCTCTCGATGCACATCTTTTGCTCTTCTTGTCCATCCACTGCTTAGCTACATGGAAGACTCTTCCTGGATCTCGCAGATGAGCCGACCGTGGCTGGGAAGAGTGAAGCAGCTCGCCCAGGACCATGAAGCTAATAAGAGGTGACGCTGCCACCATTCTGTGGTGGCAGGAAAGGGGTGATCGCGTGGTCTTAGGGAGCGCCAAGTGGCAAGAGGCTCACACTTACCTTTTGGATTTGGCACACTCCTTCTTCCAGTTCTTTACCAAAACGGGCACAACTTGTTCTGATGTGTCCTCCTTATTCAGGGACCAGAGGTCAGTGCTCTCCAGCGGCTGGCGGTAGCCCCGGACCATCAGCCTGGGGCCAAAAGAGCAGCGGGGAGGCGATGAGAGTCGGGAGGAAGAGGACCACAACCCTCGCTGCCCACACCCACTGCCACGGATGGCAGCACACACTTGGGAAAATCGCAATACGCAAGGGACATTTGGGCACATTATGTCATCACTGCTAATTATGTTAGGTCGCCCAGGAAGCCCAGCTTCATTTTTTAAAGACACAGAATATTCCTGATACAGCTTTTACAATGGCTCCCATTTACTTAAAAAAAAAAAAAGTTTTCAAGACTCAGGGGCAAAGCATTAATCATTGTCAAATCTGAGTGATAAGTTCATTGAGCTTGATCAGACGTGTTTGGACACTTTCGTAACAGAGAGTAAACCTATCATTTTAACTTGTTGTTCTGAAATAATACCAAACTTACAGAAAAATCACATGCATTGCACAAAGAATTCCTACCTCCCCCAGCTCACTGCTAACATTTTGCTACATCTGCCATATTATTCTGTCTCTAACATCAACATACACATACAGACTTTTTTTCTGAACTGCTTCAGAGTAGGCTGTAGACTCGTGCAGCCCTCAATGTTAGCGTGAATCCCCCCAAAAAAGGGGCATGCTTTCGCAGAAGCCAGAGAACGATTCATTAAAATCATATGAACAAGGATGACATGACCTGCGGACCACACTCAAATGACCCCAACCGCCCCAGAGATGTTCCTTAACTGTTAATTTGAATAATATTTCATTTAAAAAAAAATGTGCAAAGTTTATAAAGACAAGGAACCGTGCTTATGGGGGGAAAAGGGATTCATATAATCTTGGGTAAGATGCTGACAATGTGCAGGAAGAAATGTGCAGGCAAAACGGACAAGAGAGCTTAAAATGAGTGCTGCCTCAGGTGTTTTTGGTTGTGGATCTATGCATGTTTCTCTTACCCACATTTCTTACGGGGCACGGGTATTATTTTTCTAATGGCAATTTCATTTCTCTGAAACAATGCCAACAACCGTAATTACACCTGACGTTAAAAAAACAAACAAAAAACAAAAACCCAAATCCAAAAACCAACAGGGCACAGTTTCTAAGTGCCCCGGGTGAAGCCATGCACAGAGGTGCAAGCCGTCTGTGGTTCGCATGTCGAGTCCGTGCACGCGGGCAGAGGGTCGGCGTCTGAGCCCCGGGCCCAGGGCAGGCACGCTCAGCACACGGGTGAGGAGTGACAGAGGGACAGCGGGCCCGACGCACCGGCCTGGCCTTACCCTGTGATCCACCAGAAGGTGACTCTGGAAAGGAAGGAGGCGCTGGATTCCGGGCAAGGATTCTGGTGGAGAAAACACAGAGGGTGGGAGCAAACAGGAAATGATCGATTAAACTTCTCATCTAGGCCAGCGCTCGGCAACAAGCAGCTGAGCAGAGCGGTCTTACTCTCCAAAGGACCAGCAGCCACTGCACACCGATGACTCACCCCAGGAGGGTTTCTCTCCTGATCCCCAAGAACCTCCCAAGAAACACATGGCAGCTCCCCAGTTTCATCCAGGAAATATTTCCTGTCTACTATGTGCAAAAGTGGTATAGCGTGCCACTTACCCACCCTGCATTATATTCATTCCAACAGCAACCCGGTGAGTGTGATGCGGCCCATATCCCCCCATGTTACCCCCTTCATTCACTGATTGCATTCATTCAACACATATTGTCTGAGCACCAACTATGTGCCAGGCACTCTACAAAGTGCTAGCATTATCCTATATCCTCACAGAACCTTACGAGGCTGGTAATTACTATTATTTCTGTTTCATTCATTCCTTCGACAAATATTTTCTGAGCACCTGCTACGTGCCCAGCACCATGTATATAAATCTAAGCAGACATAATCCCCACCTTCAGGAAGCCGGACGTGTCCTGGACTAATAGTAACACCTGCTAACTTCTCTCCTAGCTAGCTCTGTTGTAAGTGCTTTACACAAATCATCTCATTTAATGAGACCACCCAGGAAGTAGTTAAAAGCATCATCCTCACTTTGGAGCTGAAGAAACAGACGAGCAGAGGGACCGGAATGACCTTGCCAGGCTCCCCCAGCTAGAAGCAGTGGACACAGACTGGGACCCCTAACAGGGTTCAGAAAGAGACATTAATCAAATGGTCCTATGAGCGAACACAAAACCACAACTGCGATGAGGATGGTCCCCTGAAGTTAGGTCAGGATACTGGTGAGGTCACTGGTATCGTAGTGAGATCACAGCAAGAGAGCCAATAAGCGGATGGAGGCTGATCCAGCTGACAAAGGTCAGAGAAGGAGTCCCTGAGCTGGGGTCCGACAACTGACTAAAGGATAACAAGGAAAGGGGAGGAGCAAGGCAGTCTCAGCAGTGAGAGCATGCGTGCAAAGGTCCCGTGGCAGAAGGGAGAATAACCTACTCTGGGAACCAAGAAAGGGCTGAGCAGTCCACACTGGAGGCCGTGTAAGGGATTCTGGTCTTCATCCCAAGGGCAAAGGGAAATCATCAACGCATTCCAAGCGAGCTCTCAAAGAACCTCTTTCCCAGAGGCACAGAGAGGAGCTCCAACACACACACACACGGAAAAGGGATGTCAACATGGAGCCTCTGAGACCACACACAAGGGCTGACTTTCCACGCTGATACATTCAGGGCTATATTCTAAAATGCACGTTTAGTGAAGGGGTGGGGGTCACCACGCAGTGTTGAGGTCTCTAACAGAGGAGACCGCTCCGCGTTCCAGCATTTTTCAGAGACGGCCTTGGAGCGCCCAACTAGCGCACACGTTCTACCAGTGGTTTTCCATCCAGGCTGCAGGTGCTTTAAAAACAAGACCATACCTGGTCCCCACCTCCCAGAGATTCCGATCAAGCTAGGATGGGGTGGGACCTGGGCATCAAGTTTTTATGTTTGTTTTTTACCTCCAGAATCTCCCTTGGCAAAGCGGCTTGGCAGGCAATGTCCCAGACAAGCTTCGAATGTCTTGTCACACCTGTTACCATGGAAGCTAAAGACACAAAGCCTCAGAAGCAACCAGAAGTGGCTCCCAACTTGCCCAAAAAGGGACGATGTGAGCCACGTGATGTCAGGATAGTAAGCAGAAGGGACTGTGATGATCACATATGTTTAAAGACACAATCTCACAATGACACTGAAAAAAAGAAAAAAAAGGGCAACCCCTTGGTGTCGTTCATGAAAAGACACATGTGAACCAAGCCGCTATCTTAGAAAACAGAGCAAGGGCAGGAGAAAAGCATGTCCCCCACCTTTTCTAAATGAACTTCACCATAGGGTGACCAAAGAGATGAGGGGAAGTGTCTTTGCATAGAAACAGTCCAACCGGGGCGCCTGGGTGGCTCAGTGGGTTAAGCGTCCAACTCTTGATTTCGGCTCAGGTCATGATCTCAGGGTCATGAGATCGAGCCCCACATAGGGCTGTGCGCTGGGCATGGAGCCTGTTTGAGATTCTCTCTCCCGCTCCCTCTGCCCCTCTGCCCCTCCCCCTCTAAAAAATAGTCCAGCTAATAAACAAAGAATGAATGAAAGAACATTAAGACAATGCGCCATTTTGCAACCAGAGTGGATTACTGGAATACTTGGGAGATACCCAAGGATTATTATGAATGCTTTTAGGCCAGAGACTAGTGTCACTGTTCTATTGTTTAAAATCCTTATCTTCCAGATATTCTCACTGGGGAGAGCTGGGTGAAGGGCAGACAGGAATTCTACTATTTCTGCAACCTTTGGTAAGTCAAGTTGCTTCAAAATAAAAAGCTATTAAATATATTTAAATCCCTATCTTTCAGAGATATGTATTGAAGTGTTTACACAGTGGGGGGGAGAGCAAAGAAAGAGTCTGTGGCAGTCTATTACACGCTGCTACTTCTGTACACATGGGGAAGCTTCCATCATAAAAAGTTAAACGAAAAGCTTCGCCAGTGACACAAACGTGCATCCTGGGCCCAAAACCACCGGGCTCCACTCTGGAGCCACAGGGGGTTGTCAGGAGGTTCCCAGCCCTGCCTGCACCAGAGTCCAACCAGGGGAGCTCGTTGAACATGGATGGGCCAGGGTCCCACCCCAGACCAGCTTAAATCAGTGCCTCTGGGCTGGGGCCCTGGCCTCAGGACATTTTTAATAAGGAAATCAGACGCTGTTTGCCTCAAAGACCTGTGTTCCAAACCAGCCTAAAGCAGGTAAGTTCAGACTCTGGAGCCAGGGTTCACATCCCAGGGATGCCATTTTCTCGCTGAATGACCTGGGCAAGTCCCTCCACCTCAAAGCCTAGGTTTTCGAATCTGGGAGATGGGAGCGGTGTGTCTGGCTGCTCAGCCTACCTCACACGACCATGAGGAGGGACAAGTGAAATGAGTCCATGGTACTGTGTTGTAAGCTGGAACTTTCCCAACCCAGGGTGGCAACATTATTCGAGGGGGAGGCAGGGGCATTTGCTCTGGAGGCTGGTGGTGGGTGGGTTATCAGGTCAATTTCAAATGCACCTCAACTGTAGCCCAATTCCACCCCAGTGTGAAAAGGTGAGGTTCCAGTGGGGAAGGGGAAACGGAAGAGGGTGGGGCACAGCGGACAATGAACTCATTTATTTCTTGAGCAAATATTTAGGGAGGGCCTGCTTAGATGCCAGGAGGTAGCTAAGGGCTGGGGACAGAGCTATGCACGAGACAAGAAGGCAAGGTCCCCACCTGATACCACTTCCCACCGGGGGAGGGGGAGATGGACAATTAGCAAACCGATGGGAATAAATATTTAAGTATCAATGGGAGAGTCACAACAAAGAAGAAAAATGAAGGTGCCAGAGAGGGATGGGGGCCAGGGGCCTGCTTATGCGTGAGGCAGCAAACAGCAAGGAGATCAGAGGGAGGCTCTGAATCCCAGTCCTGCCACTTACGAGCTGTGGGACCTTGGCCAAGTTACCTGGTGCAGAGATTAAACGAGATGAAGCATGTTATAAGATTCCTTAGAATAGTACCTGACACAGAGTGAAAGCTGGAAGAAACGGTATTAAGAGTATTAATGCCAAAATCCGAAACAGAATAATAACGTCTTCTATTTCTCGCAACCCCACGACACACCCAGCACCGTCCCAGGTGCTTTACACAGGGTTGGCAAAGAAAGGCCCACAGGCTGGCAGCTTGTCAATAAGGTGTGACTGGCACACGGTGATGCCCACTCGTTTACATACCATCTGCTTTTATATATTGTCTGCTTTTGAGCCACGACGGCTGAGGTGAGTAGTTGCAACACAAGCTACAGGGTCCACAAAGCCAGAAACATTTACTGTCTAGCTCTTTACAGAGAAAACTGGTTAAGCTCTGCTCACATTAGAGCTCACAACACCCTGAAACGGGTCACTAAGGCAGAAACCAGAGCTTAAATGACGGCCCTTTGCCTCCAAACCCGGTCTTCTTTCAGTCTTGGCATCGACATGGAGCATCTCTGTGCGAGTTACAAACTCTGCACAGAGATGCCCAGCAGAGGGGCAGCTGGGGGCTGAGATGCAGCCCGTGTCCAGCTCAACAAGACCCCCAAGTCCTATGCCTGTGAGGGGCTGCATCAGCCTGAAGGAGGCAGGGCCGTGCCCAAATTCATCCACCCACACGTGGTACATTTTTTTCTCATTTGCAAGGAGACACGGTGCAAACAGCAGGGTGTTAAGCACATGCACACAGGAGAGGTCCCCAAATCCTGGCATTCTCTCAAAATCTGGCAACTCCAGCCACGGGCAGGAAGGAAGCAGCCTTTTGACTGCGGAATCGAAGGCAAATTCATTCCCTTCCCACCCTCCTGGATACAAATGGAGTCATACCCCTGAGACCCTAAGAAACGATAGCCCAGAGGGAAAAGATTAATCCTTACTCTGGCCAGGAAAAATCCCAGCTGCTGCAAGAAAATTCTCCAGCAAACGCAATGAGATCGCATTATTAACAAGAACATTTCACAGTTTCTAATTTGCACGCTCCAAGAGCTTTGCCCAATTCGCCTCCTCCCTCCTTGGCGTCCAAACAGGGATTTTCATATTACGAGAAGCCACATCACACTGAGAGACATCACACCGAGAGACGGCCCGCGTTGCCAGCACAGAGAAGGAAATCTCTTAAGTTGGAGAGCTGGTTTCTGGAAGTCCCTACGTGACGTCGAAGGAAGGCCTTATATGATCACAGACAACTCGAATTCTCAAGTAGTAGAGAACTGATAACTAAAGAAGAAAAACAAAGGGCACGGGTGCTGGATGAGAACCCAGACAGCACCCCATTCAACCGAAACCAAGCAGAACATTCTCGAAGTTGCCAGCTCGGGGCCTCC